ACCAGTAGCGAAGGCAGGAAGAACAGACGGATGGGTGTTCAATTCGAAGCCGCTGCTGTCCACGCCCAGCGCCGAGAACAGCAGCAGTGTTGGTGCTCGCTCACCAGGTTCTTCTAAAGTTACCAGTTTATTGTGCCTCCGAATCTGTGGGCGGGGGGGAAGAGAGGGCAATGAAGGAGGTGTAAGGAGGAAGGGGACTCAGCGGCGAGAACATCCCCCCACCAGGATCTTCAGCAGCGAACGATCCACCGTGTCAGCGCCTCTCCACCTCAAGTACCCGTTCCAGTCTAGATGCCTTAGAAAACACCACCATGACTTGAGAGAACAACAGCCCACTTCCCTACAACATAGTCAACACAACCCAACAACAACAAGGAAGGGAGGAAGGGGATGCAGCAAGCACACGGCCCCCACCTTTCACGTTCAATAAGCTGCAGCAGCCCAGCCACGGTCCGCCTCTCCACCTCAGGCACCCCCTCCAGATGGGACCGGAACAGCCTCAGCCCCATCTCCCACAGCGACTGCACACCCGCCTTTGATGCCTCTTGTGGAGGAGGGGGGAATGCAGCAAGCACACGGCACCCACCTTTCACGTTCAATAAGCTGCAGCAGCCCCGTGACGGTCCGCCTCTCCACCTCAGTTACCCCCTCCAGATGGGACCGGAACAGCCTGAGCCCCATGTCCCACAGCGACTGCACGCCCGCCCCTCCTCTCCTTTGACCTTGATTGAAGCGCCTCAAAAGCAACAAGCACCCACCTTTCTCTCTCGATCAGTTGCAGCAGGCCTGCCACAGTTCGCCTCTCCACCTCAGGCACCCCCTCCAGATGGGACCGGAACAGCCTCAGCCCCATGTCCCACAGCGACTGCACGCCCGCGCCCGACGCCTGCATCGCGAACGTACGGTCCAGATACAGCGCGATCGACCGGATCATGAGCATCTGCTCGCAGAAATCGCGCCACGTGGCAGCCACGTGCTCCAGGAAGAGGACTGGGTCGGGGGAGCCCTGGGCGAGGAGCAGTTGGAGCTTGGCTGCGATGTGGCGATCGCATTCGGCCTGCAGACGCGAGTACAGCCCTGCTGCCATCTTGTGCAAACACAACCCCTCCACTGCCTGTCCAGAGGGGGGCGGGAGAGAGAGCGGGGCCGAGGAGAAGGAGAAGGGTGTTGGAGGCAGGGACGTGGGAAAGAGAAGGGTGGATACGGAGAAGGATGGGAACAGTGTGCTGCTGACAAGCAGGCACGTGGGAGAGGAAAGACACGGGTTCGGGGAGCCTTGGGCTAGGAGCAGTTGGAGCTTGGTTGCGATGTGGCAGTCGCCTTCAGCCTCAAGCTGCTTGTGTGTAACTTTTGTCGGAAAAGTATACCTTCGAGCCCAAATCAATCATTATAGTCACTAGCTAGCCACCTTACATGCTTGCATTTCATTCATCATCCCCAGCATACCTAATCCCATCATGCCCAGCACACATATACCCACAACGCCTCCCATACTTCCCCCCTCCCCCCCCATCTTACCCGGTACAGCTCCTCCAGGCTGCACGAAACCGCTCGTTTTTCGTGAATGGCGGTAACCGCCTCTCTCAGCTTCGCCCATGTCGTCTCCTCGTAATCTGGGGGCAGCTGGGGCTTGGCTGGTGGGGGGGGATGGGGTCCGGACGAGAGGAGAGGAGGGGGAGGACAGGAGTGGTAAGACAGGGAGGAGAAGGAGAAGAGGGAGGAGACAGAGAGGGAGGAGAGGGAGGAGAGGGAGGAGAGGGAGGAGAGGAAGGAGAAGAACAGAGGAAGAAACGGGAGGAGAGGGGGAATGTTGAGAGCAGGAAAGGTAACCAATCTGGCCATAGACAATACTGGATCTAGAGATTGCAGGTGGCAAATGCTGGTATGAGGGATCGCTGGCATGAAGCAGTTACAACAAAGAAAATATTATCGTCAAGGCGATATTCATGTGGACGGGGTTAAGGGCGAAGCCAGTGTGCACATGTGGGCCCACAGTGCAGCACGAGAGAAAAAGGGAATTTAATCAGGAGGAGCAGCTCCACAGGGACCACCGATTCAAAGGTGCGGCGGGGTACAGGGCGGTGCCATGCCAGCATAAAGCAAGAGGAAACGTGAAGTGCTAAGTCGGTGAGTGATCTCACGGGGTAAGGGAAAATAAAGGAAGAGTCAGGGTTAAGGGGTGTTTAATGAATCTGACAGGGAGGGGTAGAGAGGTAAAGAGGCGTTAGATGAATCAGGTGATCATAACGGGGAGAGGACGAGGAAGAGTGAGGGAAACATGAAGAACCATGACGCGTGTATCAGGTATGACTATAACGGTGGCACGTGTGAGTGAAAAAATGAGGTTAGTGAAAAAGAGGGTACCTTTGAAGGCTTTTATGACCAGCTTCCTTCCCTGCTGCGGCCCGCCAGTCGCGTTCTTCTGCGATCCTGACGAATTGCTCTGAGCTCCATTTTTCAATCCGACGGCGCTCGCTCCTCCTCGTGTGCTGCCGTTTCCGCCGACGAATTTCGGAGCTCCGTCAGCTGCTCGTGCGGAAGCTCTGGACGGACCTGACGGCGGATCCAGGTCCATGGGTTCGCGAAATCGTGTGCGACGAGTAACGAATGACCACCTGGACTACTCCATTCGCGATTCACTAGGCGAGTTACGGCTGGGTGAATTCTCGCTGGCTTGTTACTAGATTCGCAGAGAGCGATCTAGAACAAATTCGAGGACTCCAAGACTAAGACTGAAAAAATGAAGTGATTGATTGAATTCCGCCGGAAACGCGAATGTCGGCAGTCAACGTTCAACCACGACAGGGTTACCGGTGTTATTCCTTATTAACCTACTCTCCACGAGGAGGCTACACGATGGACAACGTTTCCACAGCCCGGTTCCGAATCTCGAATCGTTTTCCTCGAGTTCAAGTCGAGATGAAGAGCTGAGACAAATGACAAACCTAATCTCCTATCCACGGCTAAATCGTTAACAAGGAGTTAGTAATTCTCTCTAGTGGCTCAATATGTATGGGTTTCGAGCTGCGACTTCCTCCTAGATGGCGAGTTAGGAAACAAAGAGAATCTGCTTCCTCGATGTTGTTTAGTTTTAGAATCTTCTATGGACTAGTACACTCGACTATGCGATACAGTCTGTACCAGACAATGCCATTTTCCGTTACACAGCTCTTCCGTCAGTCCAATCTTGACTTTCAAGAATGATGAAACCAGTGTCTGCATACACTAGCTAATATCTTAGAATCTTCTGAGGCAAACTCAGCAAAATATATTAAGAATGTATTCTAAGAATACGCAGGATACATCAAGAGCAGTAGTCTTACACGAATTAGACAGCTGGATGGCCATGGAGAAGCCAATCAAGCACTTAATTGTGTGCTTTTACACAAAGACACGTCAACTACGGTAAGTGATAAAAAGGAAAACATTTATATAATCGGTTTTGATTCTCATTTTTCACAGACAACTCTCTAGTATTTGTTTTGTAAAATGAAGATGGTTGTAACTCTGAATGTTGTTAACATGTGCTATCCAATCGTTTTTGTCTTAGGGATGTTCATTTGGGTCCTAAATAATGTAAGCATTTCCACACAAGGGAATTCTGCTGTGTATGTTATGGTAGCGCAAGCCGCGTTCCACTATCGACTAATCCAGCCATCTGACAAACAATAAGGGACAGAGAAGATTGGTTCTGGCCTTCATAAGTTGTTCTGACCGTCCATGGTCAGTGAGATGAGATCACATGATTCCAACCGACATCAGGTGCAACAAATCAACGGCTGGTGAAACCGTGAGATTGCAGGGATGAAATCAAAGAACTTTTATTCTGATGCCTCAATCGAGCACATCATGCATTCTTGAAGCCAGCCTCGGAAAGACCGCAACAACTCCTTTCACAAAGCTCTCACTTCATGTTGGCATTTCGTTGCACTGGCAACGATTTCTCGTGAACAACGAGGAGAAAGTGGAACTTGTTGTTCTCCATTTCCTCGCCAGACACATACCACTCCGAGTCTAGTTGCCTGAATTCCAGTCTCTAACGCCCGTAGATTGTGAATTTCATCGTCTTCAGGCTCGTTATCTGCTTAGCACACTACGAATCCGTGACCTTCTTGTCTGAGTAATTTGATTCCCGGCGTCGTCTGAAAGAACACTGACGTGGATTCACGACCAGCTACGTTCCAAATGACGCTGTCGTCACCACGACTAGATGGCATCGCGAATGGCACCCCGCGTCGCGCCAGCCTGGACAGAACCAACCGTCAGATCGTGTATCCGACAGCGGAGGAGCGATTGGACGAGCTGCGGAAACGGATGGGGAAGGCGGACGGGGATCCGCTGAAGGTCGTTGGGGTTGGCGCCGGCGCGTGGGGCTGCGTCTTCACGGCAATGATACAGGTGTGTGGACATGACTGCGAGAGTGAAGCTTGACTTCAAATAACGTTTGCGGAGACGGATGGGGAAGGGGGACGGGGAACTGGGGTTGGCGCCGGCGCGTGGGGCTGTGTCTTCACGGCAATGATACAGGTGCGTATCCATCCATGGTGTAGTGAGACGATCTTTTAGGCGCCTCGAATGATTCTCACCGGGGCTGCGTCTTTTCGGCAATGATACAGGTGTGTGGACGGTTGTGATCATCGACGGTGTAATCTGGAGGATATGTGTTTGTGGGAGTCACGTCGTAGACGGCCCTGATTAGGTAAATGCTAGCGAGATTGACGGTTGATTCCATGTAGCTTCCACAGATCTACACAAGGGTGGAAAGGCACTGGCACTGGTAACACCTCTGGACAACCCCCGTTTTCCCCAGTGGTGTAGGGCTCGGGTTGTTATATCCCGTTTCAGTGGCTATAATTCCTACTTGTGGGGAAGGGTGCAAGGGAACGGGATGGATTCATACAGTGACTTTGAGACCTTAATGTGCACATGTTACTCGGTACAGGACCCACATCCTCAAATATTTTCTCAACGCCGTGATCCATGGCGAAAGTGATTGTTTCATGTGCCGTCTCACCTCGGTACTTGCAGGAGACGTACGGCCAATTCAAGCACAAGATCGACGTGCGGATCTGGCTTTGAGACGTCTCAAAAGTAATCATTCCCTTGTGTGCCACCTAACCGCGTCCTTGCAGGAAACGTATGGCCAATTCAAGGACAAGATTGATGTGCGAATCTGGCGACGTGGCGGGCGAGCATTGGACAAGGCGTTTGCACAGAAGCTGTTCAACGTGATCAACGACAGGGAGGACATCCTCCGACGCTTGATACGCAACTGCGCTTATCTCAAATACGTGGAGGGGCGGCTGGGGGATAGAGTACTACTAGCTGATGAGATCCTGAGGTGATTACTTGCAATTATTTTCCTTTTGTATTGCCAGTAATCATTATGTTTTTCTCTTCTCATGGAAAGTGATATTGTTAGGCTAGCCCACACCCGAGCGGTCTACCAGGGTAACATAACCCCTCCGGCTCATTCTTGATCTCTTTTTATAGCCCCATTTTTTCTGAAATTCGTTACTCTCCTTAAACCTTCCCCGGACCTCCTCCCTGCCTGTTTATCACAGGGACGGCTTTTGCGTCAATCTAGCTGACACGCCCCTGTGCCCTCTCAACGTGGTGACCAATCTGCAAGAAGCCATGTGGGGTGCTTTGTGAGGCGCCTCAAGGATTGAACCTTATTCCGAACCTCCTCCCTGGTTTTTTTCTTACACAGGGACGGTTTCTGTGTCAACCTAGCCGACACGCCCCTGTGCCCTCTCAACACAGTAACCAATCTGCAAGAAGCCGTGTGGGATGCTGACGTCATCATCAACGGGCTGCCGTCCACCGAGACCAGATCCGTTTTCCGCCAGATCGGGCTGTTCTGGCGGGAGAGACGGCGGCCGCCAGCTGTCATCGTGTCATTGGCCAAGGGCGTGGAGGCTGCTATGGAGCCTGAGCCGCACATCGTGACACCGACGCTCATGATTCACCAAGAGAGTGAGTCTTGTTTGAAGCGCCTAGGAACATGACTAATTCTGTGTTGTTGGGAAAGAGGAGCTAGAGGTTGGTGATCGAGCGAGAGAGTGACTGGTAAAACAATACTATACTTAAGGTTTTTATACTGCAAGTGGACTTTGCCATTAGCGAGTGCACATTGATTTACTGTTCCCTTCCCATCCCCTCTTCGGCCTCCTGTTCCCCCCTTTCCTTAATCCCCAGCTGGCGTCCCTATGGAGAACATACTGTACCTCGGAGGCCCTAATATCGCAGCTGAGATTTACAATAAAGAGTACGCCAACGCGCGCCTATGTGGCGCCGCCACGTGGCGCGTTCCCATGGCAGCGTTCCTTCGCCAGCGCAACTTCGCAGTATGGGACAACAGCGACCTAGTCACCCACGAGGTCATGGGTGGTCTCAAGAATGTCTACGCGATCGGGGCGGGGATTGTTGCCGGGTCGACGCGGGACAGCGCGACGTCAAAATCGGTGTATTTCGCTCATAGCACCAGCGAGATGATCTTCGTTACACACTTGCTAACAAAGGAGCCGGAAAGGCTTGCCGGGCCGCTATTGGCCGACACGTATGTGACTCTATTGAAGGGAAGGAACGCGTGGTATGGGCAGCAGCTTGCGGAGGGGAGGCTGACGGCGGAGATGGGCGATATGGTGGAAGGCAAGGGGCTGATTCAGGTGAGGAGATATGGGTGATACTAGTAAGGAATTAGTGGTTGGATCTTAAGACAGGGTGGCGGTGGGCTATTGAAGGGGCGGAACGCGTGGTATGGGCAGCAGCTGGCTGAGGGGAGGCTGACGGCTGAAATGGGTGATATGGTGGAAGGCAAGGGGCTGATTCAGGTGAGAATGGAAAGAGATACGTTGAAGGTAATGCACTTAGTAGGTGAGATGTGATGTTTCTAGGATTCTCAGAAGCTGCTCAGAAGATGTTGGTGTGAAGGCAAATCAGTCACTGGGTGGGCGATTGAAGGGGAGGAACGTTTGGTGAATCGCATCCATGTTCTCATGGCTGATCCTGCTCTCCATTTGTTCTCTGGGCACCGCCCCAACGACCTCGTGGCGTCCGTCCAGCTCTGCCTGCTGACTGACACTGACACCCATTCTGCCCGCCCTGTTTTGAGTCGACTCAAAACACTCCTCGTGGCTCTCATCCAGCTCTGCCTGCTGACGCTGACACCCATTCTTCCCCCCCCTGTTCCCCCCCTTCCTCTTTCCCCCTCCCCAGGAAGTGTCAGCAGTAGCAGCGTTTTACACAGTACTGAGTGAACCGGCCTACAAGGTGCCCCACCCCGTCACCAACGAGCTCGTGGCGCCTATCGAGCTCTGCCCCATCCTGTCTTCTCCCTTCTCACACTGACACCCATTCTGCCCCTTTTTTGTCCACCCCCAACTTCTTCTTTCCCCCCATCCTCCCCAGGGAGTGTCAGCAGTGGCGGCCTTTTACACCGTGCTGAGTGAGCCGGCCTACAAGGTGCCCCACCCCATCACCAACGACCACCTTGCAGGCACCCATGGAGCTCTGCCCCCTTCCCACTGCACACCCTCTTGATGCACATCCATTCTGCTCCCTCTGTCCTTTCCCTCCTTCCCCAGGGAGTGTCAGCAGTGGCGGCCTTTTACACGGTGCTGAGTGAGCCGGCCTACAAGGTGCCCCACCCCGTAACCAACGAGCTTGTGGCGCCCATCGAGCTCTGCCCTATCCTGCAGACGCTCTACCACATTCTGCACGTGTGGTGAGTTCCCTCTCTGTCATGCTTCTATGCATTCCTCCATGCACCTTGTGGCACCTATCGAGCTCTGCCCTATCCCGCAGACGCTCTACCACATCCTGCATGTGCGGTGAGTGTTGGGACACACGCTCATACACTAGGAATTTCGAGACGTCTCAGAGCTCTGCCGCGTACTTGCGCACTTGCGTGCTTGTGCAGTCGCTCTACCACATCCTGCACTTGCAGTGAGTGTTAAAGTAAGCTCTCATGCATTCGCCCATGCTCCACGCGCCACGCACCATCCACCACACACCATCCACCACGCACCATCCACCACGCACCACACACCATGCACCATGCGTAGCTCTGCCCCTACAACCCCTCCCCCCCCTAGCCTTCTCTTACCCCTAACGAGAACTGAGATCCTGAGGGACGAGAACTTGTACGACCCAGCACAGTGATTAGCCACTTCCCCCAACCCCCCACCGCACCCCCCTCCCTTCCCCAGGGATCTCCCATGTGAAGCCATTCTGGACATGCCAAGGGATGAGAACATGGATGACCCCTGCTTGTCTAAACCCCCTCCACCCACCCCCCCTCCCTCCACTCCCACAACACCCATCTTCCTGTGACCTCCTGTGTGAAGCCATTCTGGACACACTAAGGGATGAGAACATGGATGACCCGGCACAGCACATAGCCAGTCTTGACTCTCCTGAAAAACGTATCCCGTGCTCCCCTCTCTCCCACCCACCCACCCCCCATCCCCTCCTTGCTCCAGTGACCTCCCATGCAAAGCCATTCTGGACAAACTAAGGGACGAGAACATGTACGACCCGGCATAGCGCATACCAACGTCTTCCTCTGTCCGTTTCCTCCCCCCCCGCCCCATCCCCTTCTCTCCCCCAGTAACCTCCCATGCGAAGCCATTCTGGACACACTAAGGGACGAGAACATGTACGACCCGGCGCAGCGCATAGCCTCTGCACCGGAGCGGTGTTATGTGTCCAAACTGCTGGACCAGCACCCCAGCAGCAACGACTTGAGTGATGCTGCTGCTCAGGCTGTGAACGCATTGAGACTGTGAATATTGCTGTGGTGGAGAGTGAACGAGGTTAGGGAAGTGCACGCCAGCCAGCACAGCGCATAGCCTCTGCACCAGAGCGGTGTTATGTGGTTGAACTGCTGGACCAGCACCCCAGCAGCAACGACTTGAGTAATGCTGCTGCCCGGGCTGTGAACGCACTACGATTGTGAATAGCAGAGTCAGCAACAGTCTAGGGAATATTGCTGTGGAGCGTAAATAAGTCTAGCGCAGTGTATGCCAGCCAGCACAGCGCATAGCCTCTGCACCGGAGCGGTAGGTATCGCGTGACTCTGCCTGTTCAGCAGCAGAGTCTTTAGTGGTATGCGCAGAGTTATGTACGGTATGTGTGCGCATGTTGTAGCAGCATTGTCTTTATGGTGCATGCATGTTTTTGAGGGGCATCATTGACATCAGATGACAGACTTGGTCAAGGCATTGTTTCAAGACTTTCAACAAGCAGCAAAGCCCTTCACTGTGCATTGTCAGCAAATTGTGCAGAGAGTATTGTCCAGTGAATATGTACCTCGCCCAGGGGTGTACCAAGGCAACCCAGCAGAAGCAGCAGCAGCAGCGTGAAATCCACACGCAACCCATGGAAATAGTCACCATACTGGGCTTTAGAGATTCAAGAGTGCATATCCTCTAGTGTGACGCATCACCCATGTGTTCAAGAATGTGCACAGCAGTTGGCATGCGTAGATGATTACCGTATCCGTGCTAGATTAACGGGCACCAGCTGTACTGCGTGGACTGTATGCAATATTTCATACAAATCTACAGGCAGACAGCCTTGATAAGGTCCATATATGATTCCAGACATAGGCAACCCGGATTCAGTGCGCTCCAGCCTTGCACTTGCACAGGCCAACTCGTGACATGAAGCCAGAGATACGGTCATTGCTGACTGCAATGGCTTCTTCTGGGTTAGAGTATTTCACAAGCTTTGCAGAGCGCCAGCCACATTGCGTTTTATTCTCTCTGAAATGTCATCCTGCAAGGCACATGTTACACCGTTGATCGGAATGTAAATTGCCCGAACAGTACGGTGTGGAACAAGCAGGTAGTAAGACACACTGGCACCGGGATCACAGAACGAGGTTTGAGGCATTGCGGAACTCACAGCCTTTAAGCATTGCTTTCCAGCATCTAGCTGCAAAGCATGTGGTGAATATGAAAGACTCAATCATTAGCTGCAAGCAAATACCTAACAAGCGCAGAACTCACCTTGACGTCGGGAAGGTGGAAGCGCCGCCCGGTGATTGCCTCGTACAGTGCAATGTAGCTGTGGTTGGAAAAGGGGTGGTAGGGACATGGGGAAGAAAGGTGGTATGGGATAGAATCACAGGAGAAGAACAAAAATAACCTTAACGCCAGGAAGATGGAAGTGCCGCCCTGTGATTGCCTCGTACAGTGCAATGTAACTGCGTGTCGAAGGGTGGTGCATGGAGAGGTATACAGAGGGACACGGGGAGGGAAAGATATGGAAAATCATTCCTGGTGAGGGAGTCGTGAAGCTGGAAAGGTGGAAGCGCCGCCCAGTGATTGCCTTGTACAGTGCAATGCAGCTGCGGGTGGCATGATAGTGTACAGAGGGAAATGGGCGAGGAATCATGTCGGACAATCTTTAAAGATATCATTAGACATTTGCATGAATAATTATTGCAGAGTGCCTTTTGGTTAGCACAAGGATGGTGGGAGCAATGAGGAACTCACCGCCAGGACATCTCTGTGATGAGACGGGGGACCGCTTGAGGCGCCTAAAAGAAAGACACGTTATGAGGCGCTTCAAAGAACAATGGGAGCAGCAAGAAACTCACCGCCAGGATAGCTCTGTGATGAGATAGGGGACCCTTGAGGCGCCTAAAAGACTTTTGAGGCGCCTAAAAGAAAGACATTTCTCAAGGCGCTGCAAAGAACAGTGGGAGCAGCGAGGAACTTACCGCCAAGATAGCTCCGTAATGAGATGAGCGGGCGCTGCAGGGAGAGTCTGGGGGCAGAAGAGCGCAAAGAGAAAGGGAAGGGATAAGATTTAGGGAGGAGAGATGGGAAGAAGCGGGTGGGAGGTGAAACAGGGAAGGAGGAGGGAGGAGGAGAGACAAGCAAGCCACAAAGCAAGCACATCAGCCTTCAGTTAAGAGTGCAAGCAAGCACACTAGAACTTGTTTTGGTAGTGCAGTGGCATTGAAATACCACGAGTGATTTGCCATCAAATGTCATGCCGGCAGTGTTACAGAACCCTGCCATGCGGCAGTGCTACAGGGGGTCGCACCCACCTTATCATTGTAGGGGTCGCACCCACCTTATCATTGTAGGGGTCGCAGTTTTCCCGGAACCAGAGCCGCAGAAACTCCTGCAATCAGCACACGAGAGGGACGATGGGAATTGGGCTCTTCGTGTCAGGCCAGCACTGAAGGAAGGAAGCACTGCAAGCTGGGGAAATTTCTGCAAGCAGCACTCAGGTAGGTCAGAAGCAATCTGTGGTGAATACAGGGCGTGGAGTGGAGGAGCATTGACAAACGCTGAGAGAGATGATGATGACGGGGGCTGGCTTACGGAGCATTGGGAAGTACAGAAGCTGGAGGAACAGAGAACACGGAACAATGATGATGCACATACGAGTTTCTATTGCAGAGATCTCTCGTGTGCTGCTTGCATTGCAGACAAGCAGCTCAATGAAGTGAAGGTATCCGTCCTCCTCACCTTGTCTATATTCTGCGGCTCCAACCCTTCTGCATGCCTCTGCTCGTATGTGGATGCGATCCAATAGCGGCTGGAGTCGGGTGTGTGCACCTGGGTGGCAAGAGAGTTAGAAGGGGAAGAGCAGGGGAAGGAAAAGGAGAGACAGGGAGGAAAAGAGGGTTGAATTGCAGCCCTCTGCTCGTATGTGCATGCAATCCAATAGCGACTCAATTGCAGCCCCTCTGCTCGTATGTGCATGCAATCCAATAGCGACTCAATTGCAGCCCCTCTGCTCGTATGTGCATGCAATCCAATAGCGACTCAATTGCAGCCCCTCTGCTCGTATGTGCATGCAATCCAATAGCGACTCAATTGCAGCCCCTCTGCTCGTATGTGCATGCAATCCAATAGCGACTCAATTGCAGCCCCTCTGCTCGTATGTGGATGCAATCCAATAGCGACTCAATTGCAGCCCCTCTGCTCGTATGTGCATGCAATCCAATAGCGACTCAATTGCAGCCCCTCTGCTCGTATGTGCATGCAATCCAATAGCGACTCAATTGCAGCCCCTCTGCTCGTATGTGCATGCAATCCAATAGCGACTCAATTGCAGCCCCTCTGCTCGTATGTGCATGCAATCCAATAGCGACTCAATTGCAGCCCCTCTGCTCGTATGTGCATGCAATCCAATAGCGACTCAATTGCAGCCCCTCTGCTCGTATGTGGATGCAATCCAATAGCGACTCAATTGCAGCCCCTCTGCTCGTATGTGGATGCAATCCAATAGCGACTCAATTGCAGCCCCTCTGCTCGTATGTGCATGCAATCCAATAGCGACTCAATTGCAGCCCCTCTGCTCGTATGTGCATGCAATCCAATAGCGACTCAATTGCAGCCCCTCTGCTCGTATGTGCATGCAATCCAATAGCGACTCAATTGCAGCCCCTCTGCTCGTATGTGCATGCAATCCAATAGCGACTCAATTGCAGCCCCTCTGCTCGTATGTGCATGCAATCCAATAGCGACTCAATTGCAGCCCCTCTGCTCGTATGTGCATGCAATCCAATAGCGACTCAATTGCAGCCCCTCTGCTCGTATGTGCATGCAATCCAATAGCGACTCAATTGCAGCCCCTCTGCTCGTATGTGCATGCAATCCAATAGCGACTCAATTGCAGCCCCTCTGCTCGTATGTGCATGCAATCCAATAGCGACTCAATTGCAGCCCCTCTGCTCGTATGTGCATGCAATCCAATAGCGACTCAATTGGAGCCCCTCTGCTCGTATGTGCATGCAATCCAATAGCGGCTGGAGTCGGGTGTGTGCACCTGGGTGGACGGGGAGAGATGGGGCGAAGGGAGAGGGGGAGAGGGAGGGGGAGAGGGAGGGGGAGAGGGAGGGGGAGAGGGAGGGGGAGAGGGAGGGGGTGAGACGGGAGAGAAGGCGGGGAGCAAAGGGGAGTTCCAGTGCAAGTGGACCTGACGGGAAGGGGTGAGAGGGAGAAAATAAACAGAGAAGGGTCGAAGGAAAAGAAGGAGGGTAAAGGTAAAGCTGGATGTGACATCTGGACCTGGAAGTCTAGATTTGAATTCAGTAACTCCTGAAATCGGGGACTGAGGTGACTAGATGTTACAGTGACATGTTCCCATCTGAATCTTTCCCAAATTCGTACTTGGTATCCACCAGAATGAGCCCTTGCTCCCCCGCCACCTGCTGTCTAAATGCCAACAGCTTCACCGCCAAGTCCCGGGTCATCTCAAGCTCCTCCCGGGTCATGAGCCATCGTGTTCAGACCAGTCAGTCAGGCTACCATACGTTGGTGATTGTCTCACCTCATCTATTATTCGGATGTTGCCCTCCAAATCCTTCCCAAACTCGTATTTTGTATCCACAAGAATGAGCCCATGCTGCCCTGCCACCTGCTGTCCGAACGCAAACAGCTTCAGCGCCAAGTCCCTGGTAAGTTCGAACTCCTCACGGGTCATAAGCCCTCACGGTTTCAGTCAAGTCAGGACACCTCACCTCATCAATGAGTCGAATGTTGCCGTCAGAATCCTTCCCAAACTCGTATTTCGTATCCACAAGAATCAGCCCGTGCTCCCCCGCCACCTGCTGCCCGAAAGCAAACAGCTTTAGAGCCAAGTCCCTGGTGGTCTCAAACTCCTCCCGGGTCATGAGCCCGCGCAAGACGATCTCCTCTGGTGTGACTGGCTCGTCGTGATCGGCTGCCTTGGTGGTGGGGGTCAGAATGTTGGCTGATAGGCGGTCGTTCTTGCACAGACCTGGGTGTGTGGGGAGTGACACGGACAGATGGAGAGCGGTGGATTTTGTACTCTTGAGGCGCCTCAAGAATGGGCTTCAGTAGCACCCCCCTGGTTGTCTCAAACTCCTCCCGAATCATGAGCCTGCGGGAGACGATCTCCTCTGGGGTGACTGGCTCGTCTGCTTTTGAGTCGACTCAAAAGCCCGCGGGAGACGATCTCCTCTGGGGTGACTGGCTCGTCTGCTTTTGAGTCGACTCAAAAGCCCGCGGGAGACGATCTCCTCTGGGGTGACTGGCTCGTCTGCTTTTGAGTCGACTCAAAAGCCCGCGGGAGACGATCTCCTCTGGGGTGACTGGCTCGTCTACTTTTGAGTCGACTCAAAAGCCCGCGGGAGAGGATCTCCTCTGGGGTGACTGGCTCGTCTGCTTTTGAGTCGACTCAAAAGCCCGCGGGAGACGATCTCCTCTGGGGTGACTGGCTCGTCTGCTTTTGAGTCGACTCAAAAGCCCGCGGGAGACGATCTCCTCTGGGGTGACTGGCTCGTCTGCTTTTGAGTCGACTCAAAAGCCCGCGGGAGACGATCTCCTCTGGGGTGACTGGCTCGTCTGCTTTTGAGTCGACTCAAAAGCCCGCGGGAGACGATCTCCTCTAGGGTGACTGGCTCGTCTGCTTTTGAGTCAACTCAAAAGCCCGCGGGAGAGGATCTCCTCTGGGGTGACTGGCTCGTCTGCTTTTGAGTCGACTCAAAAGCCCGCGGGAGACGATCTCCTCTGGGGTGACTGGCTCGTCTGCTTTTGAGTCGACTCAAAAGCCCGCGGGAGACGATCTCCTCTGGGGTGACTGGCTCGTCTGCTTTTGAGTCGACTCAAAAGCCCGCGGGAGACGATCTCCTCTGGGGTGACTGGCTCGTCTGCTTTTGAGTCGACTCAAAAGCCCGCGGGAGACGATCTCCTCTGGGGTGACTGGCTCGTCGTGAGCCGCCGCTTTAGTTGTGGGGGTGAGTATGTTTGCTGATAGATGGTCACCCATCGAGTGCCTTTAGTTCTTGAGCCGGTCCACAGCGAGGGTGCTTCGAGTGCCTGTCAAGATGTCTCATAAACCCAACCTCCCCCAGCCCCCCCCACCCCACACACCCACCTTCAGGCAGGTCGTTCCCACAGTAGGACCGAGCCCCATCGTTGTATACGGTCCACAGGGACGTACTTCGAGTGCCTGTCAATACGTTTCAAACCTCCCCACCCACCCACCCACCCACCCACCCACCCACCCACCCACCCACCCACCCACCCACCCACCCACCCACCCACCCACCCACCCACCCACCCACCCACCCACCCACCCACCCACCCACACACCCACCTTCAGGCAGGTCGTTCCCGCAGTAGGACCGAGCCCCATCGCTGTATACGGTCCACAGGGACGTACTGGTGGTGCCCGTGATGTATCCACGCACTGGGGGACGCGGGGGGTGGGAGAGAGGTGCGAAAAGGAAGAGTTGAGGAGGAAAAGAGTGGAGATGAGTGAGTGTTGAGCCGACTAAGGGAACGCTCCCTGGTTGTACACAGTCCACAGGGACGTACTGGTGGTGCCGGTGATGTATCCACGCACTGAGGGGGCAAAGAGGGTGAGTGGGGCAAGGCGGGAGGGAATAATTGGGGGTTTGAGAGGACAAAAAAGTCAGCAGTGCACCATTGCAGACAACAGTAGACCTAGCAACAAAAAAAATGCAGTCAGGAACTTTAGCTTCAGTATTGAGAACTCTCAAAAGTGACTCCAATATAGCTGCAAATCCCACGGGTCACGCTGCAGCTCTTCTTCATGACCAGTGACCAATATAGCTCCAAATCCCGTCTGCAAGACTCAACTTCTTCCACCTCGCCCTTGGTACTCATGCACCAACGAACTCCACCCAACGCCCGACCCAACGTCTCTCTTCACGGGAAGACTTGGCATTTTAGGTACCCAGCAAAGGGAAGAGCGTGACGTTGGGTCGGACAAGGAGAGGAAGGCACTCAGCTCAGCAAGCAAAGGCACTGTCTCACTCACCATCTCCCTCTCACTCACCATCTCCCTCTCACTCACCATCTCCCTCTCACTCACCATCTCCCTCTCACTCACCATCTCCCTCTCACTCACCATCTCCCTCTCACTCACCATCTCCCTCTCACTCACCATCTCCCTCTCACTCACCATCTCCCTCTCACTCACCATCTCCCTCTCACTCACCATCTCCCTCTCACTCACCATCTCCCTCTCACTCACCATCTCCCTCTCACTCACCATCTCCCTCTCACTCACCATCTCCCTCTCACTCACCATCTGCCGCACTCACCGACAAACTCGACGGGGAAGACTTTGCATTTCCGGAAGATGGTGACGTTGGGATCGGGCGAAGAGAGGAAGGCGTTGGGTACGATGGGTGCCGTCTGCTCGAACCACCACGCGCTGGTCTGGTTCAGCACCTGAGGAGAAGGGTGGTGGGAGGGGGGAGGAGGGTGAGAGAGGGGAGGGAGATGGGTGAGCGGGCGTCTGACATGGGACGAGGTGAGGAGAGGAGAGGAAGGCGTTGGGTACGATGGGTGCTGTCTGCTCGAACCACCACGCACTCGTCTGATTCAGCACCTGGGGACAGGGGGCAAGGGGGAGGGCGGAGGGGGGAGGTTGGAGTGGGGAGGGGAGAGGGATGAGCGGGAACGGAAGAGGTGGGATACAAGGGGGATATGATTGGGGACAACGGGGCTGTCTGCCCAAGCCGAATCTGTTTTTTTTTAGAATTCTAAAAACAAGGGGGGATATGATTGGGGACAATGGGGCTGTCTGCCCTAGCCACCACGCATTCGCCTGTAAAATCACCTGATGAAAGCGAAGAGGTTGCTGAGGTTTAGCTAAGGGTTTAGGTGAAACATGTGGCTGCTGCTGTGCCACTTGGACAGGTTTAGCAAGGATTCAGGGTTTAAGCCAGATACACAGGTAAACTCAACCGAGTGAAAAGAGAGGGGATAGAATAAAGACACTTCGGTGAGAATGTCGGCGAGTCATTTCAATGTGGCTTGCCTGCCATTCCAAAGGCACGGTCATGTGAAGGACTTTTCTAGTTGCCTCAGAACGTATTTTTTTGAGAATTCTCAAAACACATACGCTGCATCATGAGAAGGACTTTCTAGTCGCCTCAGAAGGAAGTGATGTTAAAAAAGTCAGGAGTCAGTTAATGCTACGCACGTTAAAGTGACTTACCTGCCCTTTGAACGGTACGGACGCGAGAATCCGGTCGAACGCGCTTTGACGATCTGTGGTTACCACCACAAGCAGTTCTTCGTCCGTGTTGCTGTTGCTGTCGCGACTCGCCGCCGAACCTGCCGCAGGCTTGGCAGTGTACACGTCCCGAACCTTCCCCTCTTGCTTCGGCCCGACCCCAGGCACGCCCTCGAGATCTGATTGGACGAGGCATCGCGATAAGCTCTCCTCGATCGCGACGAGGATTTCTGGCCGTTGATTCAGGTCTAAGTCGATCGCTGACCGTACATTCATGGACGAGGTGCTACGCTTTCCCTGGTTGAAGGACAAGGCGCGTGATTTCCAGGAAGCTGCGTGATGTAGGGGAAGGCGAAATGCGGGGGAGGAGGAAAACGACCGGCTTATGGAGGCGCTACCCCTCGTTTTTAGCACATTGTTAACGGAAACAGGTGAATCTTGCAACGAAAAGCGCGTACACGCGAGGGCGCGGGTGGCCATTGCGGAAAGAGCGGCGCAATGCGCGGTGGCAAGAGCTGGATTGCTCTACTGAAATGGGGCAATTGAATATTTGTAGGGGAATTTGCACACTGACGCTGAGTATGGGAGCGTATTTGGAGAATGTGTTTCGCCAATCGGATGAATTCTGTAACTGCAACGCATCTCGCATTAATCGTTTGAGGAAGTTCATCGGACAATGAAATCAGTTACATCAATACTTGCCGAACCTTTGCGAGTTCTTGTCAGCGTCGTTCCAACTCTTTCTAGGGGAGTGATTTGTAATACAAGCCTTCGTGAACAGCCCTGAATGCGAAGGCCACGAAACCTGGATTCTGGTTGTAGCGGAAATTCGTTATACAGTTCACTGAATAGACGAGTTCAATAACGAGGACGATGAGAGGATCAGTGTTCATCATCAGTGTTCCAGCCCAGCGTGACATGGATCATGGATTTTGCTGGGCTGTTTGCCTGTAAGTAGTAGGGTAAGTGCAGTAATATGGTGAAGTAGTGGAATAAGAGAGCTATAGGACAGGGCGCAGAGACACTTCAGTGCACGCCTGCTGTCTCCTCCGAGCCGTCGAGTCCCTCGTTAAAACCCGCGTACAGCCAGATTTAAAGCCTGTCCTAAGCTTTGCCAGCCTACAGTACAGCCTGAATTGGAGCCTAAATTGGGTCTGGATCAAGGTCTGGATCGCGCCTTCGATTGAGGAGCCATGGCGCGGCCCGCGGAGATTTTCGCGCCGCTTTTGGACCGTTTGAACGCGCCGCATCCGTCAGTGAGGCGATTCACTGTAGACGCCCTCTTCGCGCGATTCAAGGCGCCGAGCACGGCGCCGCAAACCTGCGCACCCGCGCGCGAGGCGCTGACGGCGTGCCTGACTCATGCCACGTCAGCCGTGGTGGACCAATCCGTAACGGCGCTGTGCGGGCTCGTCCAATCAGGGCACTGCAAGGCGGATGAAGGTTCGTGGTGGTTTCCTTGTGGAAGGCAATAGGTACCTTGCAGTTTGGAAGGTAAATTCTCTCTAGTTTTAGCATTTTACCTCTACTATCGTTCCACATTGTAATAATAATGAAGAATCTATCCACTTTTTCCATGTTCCCTTCCCAACATCATCACCCTCTGTCCTTTACCCCTCTTCCTCCCCTTCCCTCCAACCGCCCCCCCTCTCCCCCTTGTCATCCCCCTCCCCCTCTCCCCTTTACCCCTGCAAATCCCCCCATTCCGTCCCCCAGCGCTGGCGCATTTGCTGGCGGCGCTGCCAGCAGTGCGGGGGGAGGTGGTGGGGAGTGTGTGCGGGGGGGTGGTGGGGATGTACGTGTCGTGCGTCAGGGCTGACGTGGCGTGTGCTAAGGGTGACGTGGCGCCTGCAAGTGGCGACACAGATTCACGGGAGGGGCGGCAGGGGGGGGATGTGAGGGAGGGGGGGGGTGGGGGGGAGGAGGGAAGAAGGGGAGGCCAACGACAATCGGACACCAGCTCACTGAGCCATGGAAGAAGGGCAATCGGATTCTCGCGTGGAAGAAGGGGAGGACAAGGACGGGAAGTGCAGTGGCGATGGACGGGAGGCACGCACCCTTTCACACGTGTAAGCGTGTTTATTAGGGGAGGTGCAATGGTGCTATACACTTGATCTCTTGTTTATAAGTCTTAAATCCCAGTGGTGATGGACGGGAGGCACGCACCCTTTCACACGTGTAAGCGTGTTTATTAGGGGAGGTGCAATGGTGCTATACACTTGATCTCTTGTTTATAAGTCTTAAATCCCAGTGGTGATGGACGGGAGGCACGCACCCTTTCACACGTGTAAGTGTAGAGGGCAAGAAGACAAATCAGTGTTTTATAGCAGGCAATGGCCGGGTAGCACAACCCGTTTCACACATGTGTATTCAAGCGTGCTTATGGGGACGTGTTAAACGGTTTCACATGGTTGGGGACTGCTTTCGAACACTAGATTACTACCCTCTGCTGCTGCTGCTTGTGATTCATGTGCTATAAACACGCACACTAGCCCTGGGTATCCGGTCACCTTGACTCGTTGTTCGAAGGGCTGTAGTAGTTGAACAATGAAACAGTAGCTGAAAAGTGCTGCAGCCCTTGGAACAATGAGTCAAGGTGACGCTATGAACATGCACACTAGCCCTGGGCATCCGGTCTTTTGAGACGTCGCAAACCTCAATTCATCTGCCCCGCTTCCTTCCCGGGTTCTCTTTGCTCATGATGTGTTATGTGCTATGCCTATGCCTATGTGTGTGCATCCATGCGTGATGACGTGGCAAGCAGCTATTGGAGACACGGGACGAGGCGCATCTGCCTCTGCTTCACCACCTCACCCTCCTCCTCCTCTCCCCTCCTCCTCTCTCCACCACCCCCATCACCACTACCAAGTCAAACCGCACTACTAGCAATAGCAGCACCACCACCACGATAACCACCAGCAGTGGCAGCAGCAGCGGCAGCAGCAGCAGCAGCAGCAGCAGCAGCAGCAGCAGCGACAGGGCACTTCTCTTCTCCTCCCTCCTCCCGTTCCTCTGCCGAGCCCTCCTCCCCGCCCCCTCCCCGCCCTCCCGCCTCCGCTTCAAGGCCGCCCTCCACACGCGATTGGTCCACGTGGCTGCCACGTCAGCAGACCTGTTCCAGCCAATCACGGCGCTGCTGGTGTCGCTGCTTCCGTGGCACATGCTATCGTCAGCAGCGGTGAGTGGTGGTGTGAGTGATGGTGTGAGTGGGAGTGTGAGCGTCAGTGTGAGTGGGAGTGAGTGTGAGTGGGAGTGTGAGTGGGAGTGCGAGTGGCGGTGTGATTGGCGGTGTGATTGGCGATGTGAAGCACATTGATGGAACAGCAGCATGACTGTGCGTCGTTTTGGAATGAGCTGCTCTGCAATCCGCCATTGCAACTTGGTGTTTGTTGAAAGAAACTTTGGGCTTTGTCTTGTGTGTCTGTGTGTGTTGTGTGTGTGTGTGTGTGTGTGCGCGCGCGCGCGTGCGTGCATGTGTGTGTGCGTGCGTGCGTGCGTGCGTGCGTGTGTGTGTTTGCATGTGTGTGTGCACATGTGTCCATCCCACACGCCAGGATCGGGAGTCCATGCTGGCAAGCTTAGGCGAGCTCATGGATCTAGCCTATGCCACGTCATCATCCACTGAATCCCAACAAACCCAACACCAGATCCCCCAAAGCAACCAACCACACCAATCCCACCACAGCCACCATCCACACTCGCTCCCCTCCCTCACCACCCGCCTCTCCGCCTGTGCTCTCGCACTCTCTCTTGAGCTGCAAGCCGCCGGCACCACCGCTGCTGGTGCATCTTCTGCTGCTGCTGCTGGGGCTGCTGCTGCAGCTCCCACTGCTGCTGCCTCTGCTGCTGCTGGTCTGCCCTCCTGCCTCTTCCTCGTTCAAAAGGCCTCTCTGCTGCGAGCGCGGATTGACTGTCAGAGAGAGGAGGGAGAGAGTGAAAAGGAGGATGTGGGGAGAAGAGAAGGGGAAGATTCCAGCATGGGTGTGGGACAGCTGGGAGGCGTCGGAGGAATGAGAAGGATGGGAAGAGAAAGGGGGGAGTCGGAGGAAGCGGAGCAGCAGAGGGGAGGGGAAGGGGATGCAGTGGAGGTGGTGGGGTTGCTGCGCCTGCTGCTGTGCGGGTTACCAACAGACCAAGACCACATCGCTGTGCTCGCAGTGCTACAGCACACCCTTACCAAGCTGAATCGGGGAGCTGCTGCTGAAGCCGCTGAATCGTCTAGGCGCAAAGGTACACGTGGTGGTGGCGGTACACAGAGTACGGTTCCTCTGCTGCTGCTGCCGCTGCTCCACCTCCTCTCCTTCCCATCGCCTGCCCTCAAGCAAGATGCAGCTCGTGCTATGAATGCCTGCCTCACTGTTACTGCCACTGCCACTCAGCCTCTCCTCTCCTCGTCCCTGTCACCCTCTGCTGGATCTGCCAGTAGTAAGCATGCTGCATCAGACCAGCAGCAGCTGTGGCATATGCGGCAGCAGCAGCAGCAGTGGAGACACGCAGACCTCTGGCACACACGTCAGTATGCCCACCTCTTCACCTGCCTCACCTCCTCCCAGCCTCATACATTTTCCTCTCGCTATCCAGTCGCAATCGCCTCGGCCCAACGGCAGCGTGGCACGTGGCACTCGCCGGAAACCTGGGCAAATGAGCCTGTGCCACGTCAGCATGACCTCGCTGGGTCCTCCCCAAGCGCAGACGTGGATGATGAGCTTGCTGACGTGGCAAAGTCGCTGGCGCTTTCAGACGGGAGAAGCACGCTGGCAGGAGCACCAGGTGGGGTGCATGGGTGCCACGTGTCAGGCTCTAATAGGTGGCTTCTGGCGCTACAGCAGCAGCTGAATCAGATCCGGAAAGAGACAGTGAGAAAGGCAGGGAGGGAAACATCAGCAGGCAGTGGCATGAGTCAATCACTGATCCTCTCACTCGCAGCTCTCCTCCTCCCACTCTCCACCCTCCACCCGTCCCCCTCCCTCCGCTCCTCCTCCCTCCTCTCCCTCTCCCGCCTTGCCTCCTGTGAGCCTATCTGGGCTCTCTCCCTGCTGCCAGCTGTCCTCTGGAGTTTGAGCCACGTGGCACAAGAAGGGGTGGGCGGGGAGGGAGAGGTGGGGGGAGAGAGAGGGGTGAAGGAAGGCGGGGGGAGGGGAAGCGGTAACGCGGGCGGCAAGTCTTGTCTTCAAGTGCTCTGCGTCCTGCCGAGCCTTGCGAGGCACTGGCTGGCTGCTGGTCCTGTGGTGCAGGTCCTGACAAAGCTTGCCGGCCAGAAGTCCCGCCCGTACGTAATTCCATTTCCTCTGCGTTTTTCCTGACGGACCCTGGAGCCCTTGTGTTCTGAGCTTTTTTTTCCTCTCACTCTGCCACCCTCCCTCCCACTGTCTCCGTTTCCCCTCCCCCTCCACCTCCCCCTCCCGCTCCCCCTCCCCCCCAGTCTCCTTGCATTAGTGGCTCTGCGGCTGCTGCAGCAAGCCTGGGCCATCACCGACCGCATCTTCCCCTCCCTGCAGCCGCTGCTGAACCTCTTAACCTGCTCTCCCTCTCCCTCCCCGTCCATTCCCTTCCCCTCCTCCAGTCTCCTTGCATCTGCGGCTCTGCGGCTGCTGCAGCAAGCCTGGTCCATCACAGATCGCATCTTCCCCTCCCTGCAACCACTGCTGCTGCCGCCCTCCCTCTCCTTCCCCAAAAGCATAAGAATAACCAGCACCAGCAGCACAGCTAGCGGTGATGTGGGGGGAGGAGAGGTGATGGTGCTGGCAGCAGCAGCAAGCATACGAGGAGTGTGTTGCCACGATACGGACCGGGCAGTGCGTCTGGTGCTGTCAGTGCAGGCAGCTATCGAGTCTCCAAGCCCTCTCGTTGCTGCCTTTGGTTTGGACGCCCTTGCTGCTCTCTGTGCTGCTGATGCCGTGGGTGAGTCCTTGCCCCAGACATGTGAACCAGGTCTTGGAAGGTACAAGTGAGGGAGGAGGTTGTGTGCGCCTGGTGCTGTCAGTGCAGGCAGCTATCGAGTCGCCAAGCCCTCTCGTTGCTGCCTTTGGTCTTGACGCCCTTGCTGCTCTCTGTGCTGCTGATGCTGTGGGTGAGTCCTTGCTCCATAACAGAGGATAGATCTGGTGAGCATACTGGGAGTGTGTCGACACGGACACGGACAGGGCAGTGAGGCTGGTGCTCTCAGTGCAGGCAGGCATTGAGTCACCCCATCCGCTTGTTGCTGCCTTGGGCCTTGACGCCCTTGCTGCTCTCTGTGCTGCCGACAACGTGGGTGAGTGTTTTCTTCATCCAAGGTGTGTCTCACCATGACACGGACAGGGCAGTGAGGCTGGTGCTCTCAGTGCAGGCAGGCATTGAGTCACCGCATTCGCTCTTTGCTGCCTTGAGCCTTGACACGCTTGCTGCTCTCTCTGTGCTGCCGACGCCGTGGGTGAGTCCTTTCAGAACAGAAGCAGGTCTGGCAAAGTTGCATGTGGTGGAGGACTTTTGAGGCGCCTCAAAAGTCGTCTCATTACCCGCAAAGTTGCATGTGGGGGAGGGCTTTTGAGGCGCCTCAAAAGTCATCTCATTACCCGCAAAGTTGCATGTGGGGGAGGGCTTTTGAGGCGCCTCAAAAGTCGTCTCATTACCCGCAAAGTTGCATGTGGGGGAGGGCTTTTGAGGCGCTTCAAAAGTCGTCTCATTACCCGCAAAGTTGCATGTGGGGGAGGGAGGTAGTGTGATGCTGCTGCTGATTCGCCCATCCGCTATTTTGTGGACAGGGAGGGGGAGGGAGGAAGTGTGCTGCCTTTGGCCCTGTGCTTCCCACATCGCCCCATCCCAACCCATCACTTCCTCTCCCTGCCCCTCCCGCTTCAACCCATCTCAATCAACAACCACTTCAGATTTCTTTACGGCGTGGAAAGTGGTGTCCCGATCACACCCCTCCCTGCCCGCGCATCCAATCACGGCTGCCCGTTGGTGCCACCTGCTGCAATCCGCTGCTCTCGACGCCGCAGCCTATCCCAACGCGACACGTGGCATCATGGAGGGCCTGTGGGAAGCTGCCAGGAAAGGGAGGGAGGGGGAGCTGATAGAAGGAGGAGGGGGAGGAGGGGGAGAAGGGGAGAGGGAATGGAGGCAGACTCGTGCTGCTGCGTTCACTGCACTTGCTGCTTTCACGGTAACCCTCCCGCCCACGCATTCTTCCCAGCTCCTCGTAACAACCTCCGTATGTCTAGTCCCTCCAGAAGTCACGGTAACCCATGCACACTCCTCCCAACTCCTTGCAGAAGGCTCTGTTTCTCTGATGCTCTCCTTGCTCCTCCCCTCCCCTGCCCCTTGTCTCCCCAGCTGGATGACGTCACAGCCACATGGCCCTACCCCAGTACCCACCTCGTTCAAGCCTTCCTCTCAGAGCCCTGCCCTGCCATGCGCCAATCCATGCTCCCACTGCTCTCCCAACAGGTGGATGACGTGGCAACCACATGGCCCTGCCCTGCCATGCAACAACCCATGCTCTCCCAACAGGTGGATGACGTGGCAACCACATGGCCCTGCCCTGCCATGCAACAACCCATGCTCTCCCAACAGGTGGATGACGTGGCAACCACATGGCCCTGCCCTGCCATGCAACAACCCATGCTCTCCCAACAGGTGGATGACGTGGCAACCACATGGCCCTGCCCTGCCATGCAACAACCCATGCTCTCCCAACAGGTGGATGACGTGGCAACCACATGGCCCTGCCCTGCCATGCAACAACCCATGCTCTCCCAACAGGTGGATGACGTGGCAACCACATGGCCCTGCCCTGCCATGCAACAACCCATGCTCTCCCAACAGGTGGATGACGTGGCAACCACATGGCCCTGCCCTGCCATGCAACAACCCATGCTCTCCCAACAGGTGGATGACGTGGCAACCACATGGCCCTGCCCTGCCATGCAACAACCCATGCTCTCCCAACAGGTGGATGACGTGGCAACCACATGGCCCTGCCCTGCCATGCAACAACCCATGCTCTCCCAACAGGTGGATGACGTGGCAACCACATGGCCCTGCCCTGCCATGCAACAACCCATGCTCTCCCAACAGGTGGATGACGTGGCAACCACATGGCCCTGCCCTGCCATGCAACAACCCATGCTCTCCCAACAGGTGGATGACGTGGCAACCACATGGCCCTGCCCTGCCATGCAACAACCCATGCTCTCCCAACAGGTGGATGACGTGGCAACCACATGGCCCTGCCCTGCCATGCAACAACCCATGCTCTCCCAACAGGTGGATGACGTGGCAACCACTTGGCCCTACCCCAGCACCCACCTCGTGTGAACCTTTCTCTCAGAGCCCTGCCCTGCTGCGCGCCAACCCATGCTCCCCCTGCTCTCCCAATAGGTGGATCCCACACAACTCCCTCCCTCTCTCCTCCCCACCTTCTCTCCCAACAGGTGGATGACGTGGCAACCTCATGGCCCAGCACCATCGTTCAAGCCTTCCTCTCAGAGCCCTGCACCTCCGTGCGACAACCCGTGCTCTCCTTGCACACCAACCTTGCCCACTCTCAACACAGGACCCGGCCCACACAACCCGGACCCGGGGTCAGTTGGCTGACGAGGCAGCACCACCAAGGCTCTAGCCGCAGTTACTATCAGCTTTTTTCTGCTGATTCTCCTTGCTCCTCCCTCCCCTCCCCTTATCCTCCCTCCCAACAGGTGGATGACGTGGCAACCACATGGCCCTACCCCAGCACCCACCTGCTTCGAGCCTTCCTCTCAGAGCCCTCTCCTTCCGTGCGGCAAGCCATGCTCCCCCTGCTTACCAAACTGGCAGACTATCAACACAGGACCCGACCCCGGGGTCGGAGGGCTGTGGTGGTGGGCGGAGGAGAGGGGGCGGAGGGTGATGTGGCGTCTGCTGCCACGTCAGCCGGTGCGCCTGGTGGCGCCACGTGGCGGTCGAACAAGCTCCTGGCGGCGCTGCCCCGGCTGCTGTGTCCGGAGAGCTTCGGCGGCCGCAAGGGAAAAGATGGACTTGGTAAGGTTGATTGCTGAAGCATCAACGTATTCTGTATAGTATACAGCTTGAAGGTTGCCCTTTGTCACGCGTTGCCCCCTTCGCCTTCTGCCCATAATCGCGTGTGAACAAATAAAAACCACCTAGCCCTTCCCTCCTTTTCCATCTCCCCCAGATGTACCTCTTGCCTCCTTGCTTGTATTTTCTAGGCAGCCTCAAGTCTGCTTTCTCTCTCTCACCCTCTCTCCCGTTTTTCTGATCAACCTCCCCCAGATGTACCTGCTGCCGCCTTGCTGCTGGTGCCGCCACCACCGCCAGAGCCGCTGTCAGGCGCATCTGCTGGGAGTGTCAGGCAGGCGCGGGTAGACCTGGAGAAGGTGGGAACTGGGGTAGGCGTGTTCTGTCGCCTGGGGGGGGGGGGGGGGGTCTGTTTTGAAGCCGCATCTGCTGGCAGTGTCAGGCAGGCGCGGGTAGACCTGGAGAAGGTGGGGACTGGGGTAGGTGTGTGCTGTCGCTGGTGGGGACTGGGGTAGGCGTGTGCTGTCGCTGTTGGGTGTCTGTTTTTGAGCCGCATCTGCTGCCAGGCAGGCTCGGGTAGACCTGGAGAAGGTGGGGACTGGGGTAGGCGTGTGCCGTCGCTGGTGTGCAATCTCTTTGTGAGAGTTTGGTGCAGAGAATTTGAACCAATCACAGGGCATTTGTGGGGAATTTCCGTTTTTAAATCTTGGTTGGGATTCTCTGTAGGTCGTGCTTCGCTGCTGAGCATTTGTAAGTGTGTGCACTGAACACAAAAACTAAATGAGTTTTCCCTCTCTCCCTCGCCCTCCTCCCTCCCCCTCTTCATTCATCCCTCCTCCCTCCCCCTCTTCATTCATCCCTCCTCCCCAGGCTCTCAAGGAAAGAGACGCACACTTCCACCGCATCTTCCTGGAAACTTCTCAGTCTCTCAGCCGCCCGGCCTTCTTCCCGCTGGTGCTCTCCTCGCTCGCCGCCTGGACCCACTTCATGCGCCAATGGTATCGCGCCAGGTGTCGCCTTCTGCACGCCACAGCCGCCGCCGCCCCTGCTGGTGGTGCTGCTACAGCTGCTGCAGCAGTGGGAGGCACAGAGACAGGGATAGGGGGAGCAGCAGGGGGAGGGGGATTAGTGGGAGCTGTTCCTCCTGGCGACGTGCCGGCAGCAGCAGCAAGGGGGCTATGGACAACAGTAACCCAAGGGTTCGACAGCGGTGTTCCAATGCAGGCAGAGAACAGTGCTCTCGCCCTCGCCGCTCTCTGCCAAGCCTTGCCGCCCGCCCTCCACCCCCTTGTAGCCTCTGCTGCTGATCTGCTCCGAGGGAGGCTCAAAGATGGGGGGACGAGTGCGGGATGGGGGGTGGAAGAGACGGGGGAAGGGGAAGAGGAGAGAAGGGGAGGGGGAGGGGGAGGGGGAGTGGGGAGGAGAGGGGGAGTGGGTAGGGAAGGGAGGGGGGTGGGTGGTGCAGGGTGGGTGGCGGTGAGTGGGTGGGCGGATGCTCTAGCACTGGGGGCTGTGGGAGGGTGCCTTCATGCCACAGATGCCCACATGCGACTGAGAATAGCCATTCTTCACACCAGGGTAAGCCAAATGACTTTTGAGTCGACTCAAAAGTCAAATCGCCATTCTTCACACCAGGGTAAGCCAAATGACTTTTGAGTCGACTCAAAAGTCAAATCGCCATTCTTCACACCAGGGTAAGCCAAATGACTTTTGAGTCGACTCAAAAGTCAAATCGCCATTCTTCACACCAGGGTAAGCCAAATGACTTTTGAGTCGACTCAAAAGTCAAATAGCCATTCTTCACACCAGGGTAAGCCAAATGACTTTTGAGTCGACTCAAAAGTCAAATCGCCATTCTTCACACCAGGGTAAGCCAAATGACTTTTGAGTCGACTCAAAAGTCAAATCGCCATTCTTCACACCAGGGTAAGCCAAATCATTCAAATGGATGTCTGGGTGACATGTGCGGTGAGTGGGTGGGCGGATGCTGTAGCGCTAGCGGCTATGTGTGACTGATGGATGCTCTAGCACTCGGTGAGTAGAATGGCTATTCTCAGAATACCCTGGTGAGCAGGTGAAGGTCTTACCTTGGTGAGCAGGTGAATGGTCTTACCTTGGTGAGCAGGTGAAGGTCTTACCTTGGTGAGCAGGTGAAGGTCTTACCTTGGTGTGCAGGTGAAGGTCTTACCTTGGTGAGCAGGTGAAGGTCTTACCTTGGTGAGCAGGTGAAGGTCTTACCTTGGTGAGCAGGTGAAGGTCTTACCTTGGTGAGCAGGTGAATGGTCTTACCTTGGTGAGCAGGTGAAGGTCTTACCTTGGTGAGCAGGTGAAGGTCTTACCTTGGTGTGCAGGTGAAGGTCTTACCTTGGTGTGCAGGTGAAGGTCTTACCTTGGTGAGCAGGTGAAGGTCTTACCTTGGTGAGCAGGTGAAGGTCTTACCTTGGTGAGCAGGTGAAGGTCTTACCTTGGTGTGCAGGTGAAGGTCTTACCTTGGTGTGCAGGTGAAGGTCTTACCTTGGTGAGCAGGTGAAGGTCTTACCTTGGTGAGCAGGTGAAGGTCTTACCTTGGTGAGCAGGTGAAGGTCTTACCTTGGTGAGCAGGTGAAGGTCTTACCTTGGTGAGCAGGTGAAGGTCTTACCTTGGTGAGCAGGTGAAGGTCTAACCTTGGTGAGCAGGTGAAGGTCTTACCTTGGTGAGCAGGTGAAGGTCTTACCTTGGTGAGCAGGTGAAGGTCTTACCTTGGTGAGCAGGTGAAGGTCTTCCTTGGTGAGCAGGTGAAGGTCTTACCTTGGTGAGCAGGTGAAGGTCTTACCTTGGTGAGCAGGTGAAGGTCTTACCTTGGTGAGCAGGTGAAGGTCTTACCTTGGTGAGCAGGTGAAGGTCTTACCTTGGTGAGCAGGTGAAGGTCTTACCTTGGTGAGCAGGTGAAGGTCTTACCTTGGTGTGCAGAATGCTTATTCTCTGACACCTCTCTTACCACTTTCTTTCGTTCCCTAGCCACTTGTTCCCACCTTCCTGTTACTTCCTCACACCCTTCTGCCATTTTCTCTGTCATTCCTCCTGCCACTGCCACCTGCACTGGTGCCCGCGCTCCAGCCACTACCGCTCGCCTTGCTGCCACTACATCCCACGCTCCAGCCACTGCTGCTCGCTCTGCTGCCACTGCACTCCACGCTCCAGGCCTTTACGTGTCTGACTACTAAGGCGCTTGATTGATCCACCTCAATCTTTTTTTTCCCCCCACCTTACTCCGCCCTTTCTGTTCCACACCAAGCTTTTTTTTTTCCTCCAATCTTCCTCTCTCTCTTCCATCCTCCTGCCCCAGATTCTCAACCAATCAGGAGCCGACAGCTCGCTCCGCTTCGCAGCTGCTGTTTCCCTCGGGACCATCGCAGCGCGCCAGGTGGCGCTCTCCCATTCGTCAACCACAGAAGGCACCAGCACCAGCGACAGCACCAGTGGCAAGAGTGCTGACTCAGCATCTGCTGCAGCAGCGACAGCTGTGCGAACGCTCTGCGCTGTGATTGGTCGGTCCTCCTGCCAGGCCCTAAGGGAGCTGGCGCAGGTTCTGAGGAAGCTTCCTGGGGAGATGGGGCGGGCGGTTACTGTAGCACTGGGGGAGGCAGAGGGGGGAAGGGGGAAGGGGGAGGGGAGCTTGGGGGGGATAGGGAAAATGGGGGGTATGGAATCGGAGAGGGGTGAGTGGGATGTAGGTGTGGGGGAAGATGAGGGAGAGGAGTGGGGTTTGGGGGGAGCTTTGTTAGGCATTGCTATTCTCACCTCCTCCCTCACCTGCTCTTCCTCCTCCTCTTCCTCTTCCTCCTCCTCTTCCTCTTCTTCCTCCACTTCCTCCTCACACCTCTCCCTCCTTCACTCCTTCGCCTCACTTCTCTTCCAGTGGACTCAAGCCTTTGCTCACTCGCTCACATTGAACCAGAATGTACCTTCCCCAGGCAAACCTTCCTCAGTTGTACCTCCCCCACTAGTGGACGGCTGGGGTGACCCCATCGCCCCACCCACCCCGCCATCCCCCTTGGACTCTCCCTCGGCCAGCTACGTGCCGCCACCTGTCCTCGCAGCAGCAGCTGCACTGGCACTGCCCTTGATCGCAGAGTGTGGGGTGAGAGGGGGGAGAGAGGCCGGGGGAGGGGGAGGTGGAGGGGGAGGGAGAGGAGGAGCGGGAATGCGAAAGAGAGAGGGAATGGGGGGTATACCAGTGGAGGAGGGAGATGAGGAAGGGTCCTTCTCGGGACCGTTCAAGTGGGAACAAGATGAACGGATCGAGGAGAAACAGATGGCAGATTGGACCGACGGACTGAGGCAAACATTTCAAGAGGTAATGCACTTGAAACGACAGCCTCTTCTCCTCCCCTTACCCCCGGATCAAGCCCAAGCAGATTCCGTCTCTCTGCTATCCCTGCCACAGCTGCCGCTGCCTGAGCTACCAGCAGGGTCGGTGATGGATGAAGAGGCGTTGCTGCTGCTGCACGCGCAGCACCAGCAGCAATACCAGCAGTTCCAGCAGCATCTAGGTCAGCAGCAGCAGATTTTTGCAGCTGCAGCTCCCACAAACCGAGACTCTTATGATGCTTATGCCGAAGCAGATGCTTATACTGGAGCAGCCAACACCACACCAGCAACAGCAGGAGGAGACGCAGGGGTAGCATCTAGAGGCCCTCCCCCGGTGTTCCTCTCTGCAGTGTCGCTCTCTCTAGCTGCCATGGTGCATTCCTCGCTGTGCTCTGACGTTGCCTTGCCTCTTGGAGCTATCACTGACGTCCTCTCTCCCCTGCTCGCTGCTATCAAAGGGGAGAAGGGAACCGGCTCTGCTGCTTCTCCTGCCACTGCTTCTGCTGGTTTTAAAGCTGCTTCTGCTGTTGAACCTGCTGCTTCTGCCGCTGCTGGTTTTGTTACTGATTCTGCACCATCAGCGGGACTGCTACCCAGCAGTGTGAGGGGAGCAGCAGGCATGGCAGTGGCAGCACTGCTAGGGGCGCCTCTGCTTCTCACCCCCCTCCCAGGCCACCGTACACAGCAGCACCCTCCTTCAGCCTCTGCTATCTCTGCTTCCGCTCCTGCTCCTGTTGCTCCTGCCGCTGCCGCTGGTGCTGGTGCTACAACTAATCCTGCTGCTGCCGGCGCTGCTACCTCTGTCACAACCAGTGGCGCCAGGTCAGCAGCAGCCAATCAGATCCTGGTGATTGGCCCACTGCTCTTCTCCCCGAGCGACGCGGTCCAATCGTCCGTCAGGGACGCGCTGCAGTCATTGGTCGAGGCGTACCGGCGCGACTGCCACGTCAGTGTCAAGCGCCAGGCTGGCTGGGCGCTGGCGCTCTGCGTGGAAGCTTCTCGGAAACTCTCGGGCGAAGGGGATGAGGAGGAGGAAGATGAGGATGATGAGGAGGGCGGGGGGTGGGGAGGAGGAGTCGGAGGAGGAGGAGGAGGAGGAGGAGGAGGAGGAGGAGGAGGAGGAGGAGGAGGAGGAGGAGGAGGAGGAGGAGGAGGAGGAGGAGGAGGAGGAGGAGGAGGAGGAGGAGGAGGAGGAGGAGGAAGAGGGGTAGGGGGAAGTGGAGGTGGGAGTGGAGGGAGGAGGGGAGGAGGGGGAGAGGAGAAGCAGTGGTTGCTGAATCAATTCCCGGCTGATAGTGTGGTGCGGCTGCTGGCATCTTGGTTGTTGGAGCGGAGTCTACACGTGGGGGCAGGAGCGGGCAGCCTGTGGGTGAGTTTTGGGGGGGTGCTATGGGGAAATGAGTGTTGAGGGGGTGCTACGGGGGAATGAGTGTTGAGGGGGTGCTATGGGGGAATGAGTGTTGAGGGGGTGCTATGGGGGAATGAGTGTTGAGGGGGTGCTATGGGGGAATGAGTGTTGAGGGGGTGCTATGGGGGAATGAGTGTTGAGGGGGTGCTATGGGGGAATGAGTGTTGAGGGGGTGCTATGGGGGAATGAGTGTTGAGGGGGTGCTATGGGGGAATGAGTGTTGAGGGGGTGCTATGGGGGAATGAGTGTTGAGGGGGTGCTATGGGGGAATGAGTGTTGAGGGGGTGCTATGGGGGAATGAGTGTTGAGGGGGTGCTATGGGGGAATGAGTGTTGAGGGGGTGCTATGGGGGAATGAGTGTTGAGGGGGTGCTATGGGGGAATGAGTGTTGAGGGGGTGCTATGGGGGAATGAGTGTTGAGGGGGTGCTATGGGGGAATGAGTGTTGAGGGGGTGCTATGGGGGAATGAGTGTTGAGGGGGTGCTATGGGGGAATGAGTGTTGAGGGGGTGCTATGGGGGAATGAGTGTTGAGGGGGTGCTATGGGGGAATGAGTGTTGAGGGGGTGCTATGGGGGAATGAGTGTTGAGGGGGTGCTATGGGGGAATGAGTGTTGAGGGGGTGCTATGGGGGAATGAGTGTTGAGGGGGTGCTATGGGGGAATGAGTGTTGAGGGGGTGCTATGGGGGAATGAGTGTTGAGGGGGTGCTATGGGGGAATGAGTGTTGAGGGGGTGCTATGGGGGAATGAGTGTTGAGGGGGTGCTATGGGGGAATGAGTGTTGAGGGGGTGCTATGGGGGAATGAGTGTTGAGGGGGTGCTATGGGGGAATGAGTGTTGAGGGGGTGCTATGGGGGAATGAGTGTTGAGGGGGTGCTATGGGGGAATGAGTGTTGAGGGGGTGCTATGGGGGAATGAGTGTTGAGGGGGTGCTATGGGGGAATGAGTGTTGAGGGGGTGCTATGGGGGAATGAGTGTTGAGGGGGTGCTATGGGGGAATGAGTGTTGAGGGGGTGCTATGGGGGAATGAGTGTTGAGGGGGTGCTATGGGGGAATGAGTGTTGAGGGGGTGCTATGGGGGAATGAGTGTTGAGGGGGTGCTATGGGGGAATGAGTATTGGGGAATTGATTGCTGGGTCAGTTCCCTGCTGTCAGTGTAGTGCACCTGCTGTCAGTGTAGTGCACCTGCTGTCAGTGGGATGCACCTGCTGTCAGTGTAGTGCACCTGCTGTCAGTGGGATGCACCTGCTGTCAGTGTAGTGCACCTGCTGTCAGTGTAGTGCACCTGCTGGGCTCTTGGCTGCTGGAGAGAAGTCTACACGTGAGTGTTTTTGGGGCGGGCTATGGGCGAATGAATGTTGCCATGCCACGTGTGCTGCTGACAGTGTGGATTTTTTAGTCGACTCATCACACGCTATGGGCGAATGAGTGTTGTCATGTCACGTGTGCTGCAGCCTGCTGACAGTGTGGTGCGGCTGCTGGCCTCTTGGCTGTTGGAGGGAAGTCTGCACGTGGGGGCAGGAGAGGGTAGCCTGTGGGTGAGGGCTCTGAGGGTAGGCGGGTGTGGTCAGTGGAACACAGACAGTGTATGGATGAGTGATGGGGGGCTGCGAGGAAGTGAGTGAGTGAGTGAGTGCGTGTGGGGAATAGAGAGAGAGAGAGAGTGTGGGAGGTCGAAGTCCTTGCACACATCAGAATCATACTGCACTCCTCTAATCCCCTCCCCCCCTCGCGGCCTCATGGGCCCTCCTCGCCCACGCCGTTTGAATCCCCTCTTTAGACTGGCCTGGCCCTCCATCTGATTTTTGAGGCTCCTGGACCAGGCGTGCCTGCACCAGGCGTGCCTGGACCAGGCGTGCCTGGACCAGGAGTCGACTCAAAAATCAACTCTTTATTTTAGACGGGCCTGGCCTGGCCCTCCATCCCCCACTGTGTTTTGAGTCAACTCTTTAGACCATCCCCCACTGTGTTTTGAGTCAACTCTTTAGACCATCCCCCACTGTGTTTTGAGTCAACTCTTTAGACTGGCCCTCCATCCCCCACTGTGTTTTGAGTCAACTCTTTAGACTGGCCCTCCATCCCCCACTGTGTTTTGAGTCAACTCTTTAGACTGGCCCTCCATCCCCCACTGTGTTTTGAGTCAACTCTTTAGACTGGCCCTCCATCCCCCACTGTGTTTTGAGTCAACTCTTTAGACTGGCCCTCCATCCCCCACTGTGTTTTGAGTCAACTCTTTAGACTGGCCCTCCATCCCCCACTGTGTTTTGAGTCAACTCTTTAGACTGGCTCTCCATCCCCCACTGCTTCCTCCACCCCGCCGGGCTGGTTTTTGAGGTGCCTAGAAAATTGTTCACTTGAGAATTCCCAATATAATTCTTCCCGCCCTTGCACCCCCCCTCGCCCGTCCCCTCCCATCCTCTCCTCCCATTCTCCCTCCTTTTTACCCAATAACCAGGATACTGCCAGCGTGCCAGCTGTCGCATCCTCATTGGCCCTCCTCTCCAACGCCCCTCGAATCCCCTCTTTAGACTGGGCCTCCATCCTCCACCGCTTCCTCCGCAGAGCCTCCTCCGGGACTATTCCCGCCTCCCATGCTGCCCTGCTGCTCCTCCCTCTCTCCGCTGCTGCTTCAGCAGCGGCAGCAGGGCCACTGGGAGGAGGGTCTGTAGAGGCATCAGTAGCAGGAGGTATTTCAGCAGCAGCAGGAGCAACGGCAGATGCAGACAATCTACGCTGTGCGTGCCTCCACTTCGCCGCCCACCGCGGGATCATCCCCTTCCTCGATGACCTCACCGCTGACGTCAGCAGGCTCGTCCAGCTGGCGCCGGCGGTGCAGCGAGCGCTGCTGTCGCGACACCTGGCGGCCGTGGTGCGGCTGTTCTCCCAGGAAAGATCCCGGAAGCTTCTGAGGGATGTGATGGGGCTGGTGAGAACGTACATGGCTGCTGCTTCTGGTGCCGCTGCTGCCTCCGCCGCTGCTCGTACCGCCGCTGCTGGTGCTGCTGCAGCTGGTGGTGGTGGTGGTGGTGGTGGTGGTGGTGGTGGTGGTGGTGGTGGTGCTGCTGCTGCTGCTGCTGCTGCTGCTGCTGCTGCTGCTGCTGCTGCTGCTGATGGATCAGGCGTAGGATCAGAGGAAGGTAAAGAAGAGGCCACTTCAGAGTGGTTCCGGAAAAAGCCCACGCCAGCAGCAGCCGCACCTGCTTTAGCATCACCAGCAGCCAGCGCAAAAGCAAAAGAAGCGGCGGCAGCAGTGGGTGCAGGGGAGGCTGCAGCAGCAGCTGCTGCTGTGAGGGTCTGGGCTTGGATGGGACTAGGGGACATTCTATCCATTTCTTGCTCTCGAGATAGACCAGAGAAGGCAGCGGAAGAAACACAGGCCTCAGCGGGACATTCTAGGGCTGATGCGTCTGTTTCATGGAGGCGTGATGCTGCTGGTGCTGCTGCTGGTGCTGGTGCTGGTGCAAGTGCCGCTGCTGATGCTGATGCGTCTGTATCATGGAGGCGAGATGCTGATGGTGCTGCTGCTGATGCTGCTGGTAGTGGTGGTGGTGGCAGAAGTGGGGGTGGTGGGGATGCATATTCCAGTAACAGCATTGGGGTGCAGTTTGGGGGTGGGATGGTGGAGGCAATGGCATGGGCGTGTGTGGGTGAGCTCTTGAGATTCCTCCCCCTGCCACGCCCCGTACGGTTACCCCCAAGTCAAAGCCATAGTCAAAGTCAAAGTCAAAATCAAACTCAAGTTTCTGACTTGAGGGAGGATTCGAGGGCTGCAGTGCGGGCGAGCGGCCAATGGGAGGGCGACAGCTGGCCGCTGGACGAGAGTCCCGAGTGGCGGGCGGCGGTGGACTGTCTTGGAGTGATGCGGAGAGAAGACGTGCTGGGGATGCTCAAGATTCCCACACCATCAGCAGGTGAAGCAGCAGCAGCAGCATCACCTGCACCTTTCACCTCCCCCAGTAGCCACCTCCCCCGCCTCGCCTTCTCCCCAGCAGCAGTCCGTGCAGTCGCCATGCGCCTGCACCTCCTGCGAATCAACCCGCGCCACCTGTCCCTTGCTGACGTGGCGCCGTGCCGCGTGTTTCTCTGCGAGCACCCACTGCCAGGTCAGCTTGGCGTGAGAACATCATGAGCTGCCACATCATGAACCTCCCTCGTTTGAATAATGTGGTGTGAAGATCTGCAACAGGCATGCAGCACAGCAAAGGCATGCAGCACAGCAACAGGCATGCACCACAGCAAAGGCATGCAGATCAGCAACAGGCATGCAGCACAGCAAAGGCATGCAGCAAATATTTACCTTATCCTGTAAACACATCTCCCTGAGTTTCCGCCTCTCCATCTGTCCACTCTCTTTCCCCTTCTCCCCACTCTGACCCCTCGCAGCAGCCTACACGTGGCTACTGGTGGAGCTAGCCAGTGCAGTGGCAGCAGCAGCACCCACTCCCTACGTATGTGTGTTTCTTCACCCCCCTTCTTCCCCCCCGTTTTTGCTTTTCCCCCTTTCACCAGCAACCTACACGTGGCTACTGGTGGAGCTAGCCAGTGCAGTGGCAGCAGCACTCCTCTCCTCATCTATGGGCTTATCTGACCGCTCCACTTGCTTTCTCCCCCTTCCTCACAGCAACCTACACGTGGCTACTGGTGGAGCTAGCCAGTGCCGTGGCAGCAGCACCGGAGGAGCATCGCCTGCCGTTCCTCCTCGACACGCTCGACTCCATCCAAGTCGCTCGCCACCCGTGGACGGTACGTCGTTCATCACACTCAGGAGCACAGAGTTCACATGAGCAGCACAGAAGGAGCATCGCTTGCCATTCCTCCTCGACACACTCGATTCCATCCAAGTCGCTCGCCACCCGTGGACGGTATGATACTTGTGCAGAAAAAGGTACGCTTCTTCAATTCATAAAACAATGTGCTGTGCTCCTCTGGATGGTGCGTGTTTCCCTTTTTGGCACCTCAAAGCTAGACACTCACAGCGAGTGGAGTGGCAGCAGCACCAGAGGAGCACTCTTTCTATCCACTCTTTCCCCTCCTTTCTATCCCCTCATGCCCCGCTCTTCCTTCCCAAGCAGGCCCTGCAGCTCTTCTCCCTCATGCTCGCGCGTCTCTCCCCCGACCGCCTCCTCCTCCCCACCAGCCCCACAGCTGCAGTCTTCCTCCTGCCGCACACCCTCCCTCCTCTCCTCTCCCAGCGCGGCTTAGCAGGCTCTGTGGGAGCCATAGTCTCGCGCTTCCAGTCGCTGCTGTTGTGGCTGTCAGATGAAAAGGAGTGCCTCTTCTGGGAGAATGGCGCTGATTCGAGACTTGGCGGGGACAGTGGTGGTGGTGCCGGCAGCAGCAGTGGTGCCGGCAGCAGCAGAGGTGGCAGCAGCAGCAGTGGTGGCAGCAGCAGCAGTGGCAATAGCAGCGGCGGCAGCAGCAGCAATGAGCGGGTGCATGTGTTGAGGGGAGTGGTGGTGGATGTGCTGAGGGCTCTACGCCACCATCTGCCCTCGCATGCCATCTCCAGTATCTGTCTCGCCAATGTCTCTTTGCATTGAAATAGGGGCACCATATTAGCAATAGTCTGCCCTCCCAGCTCCGCCTAGCAGGCTCTGTGGGGGCCATGCTCTCGCGCTTTCAGTCGCTGCTGTCGTGGCTGTCAGATGAAAAGGAGTGCCTCTTCTGGGAGGATGGGGCTGATCCGAGAAGAGGCGGTGCCACCATGCTCTCGCGCTTCCAGTCGCTGCTGTCGTGGCTGTCAGATGAGAAGGAGTGCCTCTTTTGGGAGGATGGGGCTGATTTGAGACTTGGCGGGAACAGTGGTGGTGCTGCCGGCAGCAGCAGAGGTGGCAACAGCGGCGGCGGTTATAGCGGCGGTGGCAGCAGCAAGAGCAGCGGCGGCAGCAGCAGCAGCAGTGGCACCTGTGGAAGCAATCAGAGGGTGCGGGTGCTGAGGGAAGTTGTGGTGGATATGTTGAGCTCTGCACCACCATCTGCCCTCACATGCCGTATCCACCCTTTTGTCTCGCCAACGTCTTGTCTCAAAGAACGTTGAGGCTCCTGAGGAGGAGTCCTTGTCTCGCGTGTTTTGTCCTAGCTAGCATCTGCATCGGTGGCAATCAGTGTGTGCGGGTGCTGAGGGGAGTGTGGTGGCGGATGTGTAAAGGGTTCTGCTCACCATCTGCCCTCACCTCTCATGCCATGTCCAGCATTTGCCTGACCAGCGTGTTGATGCAAAGGACTAGAGGCTTTTTAGGAAGACACATACTCACGCTTTTCCAGGCATTGCTGTAGCTGCAGTGGCAGCAGCCCTCTTACGCCGCCTCTTTGTGATGAACTGGAGAGGAGAGGATTATTCATTTGTTCAAATGTTGAAGCAATGCTTTAGTGTGTTCAGATGTAGAAGATGTGTGTTAAAAAACGTGGAAGCTATGCTTGTGGAGAGAACCAGAAACCCGTGACACACTCAGAACAGGATACACCATGCTGGTGTGTAGTGGCTGAATGCTGGAACAATGTGAAGTCTCAAGTAATCTTCCAGACACGGTAACTTGCTGTCTCAGAACGCCCAGCTGCCAATTCAAGCACGACGGTACTCTCATTATTTCTGGTGGAACTACCTTAGGTTCCCAAGACCACCAGTCGCTCCCAGTGGTCTCTCCATGCACCCCCAAATTCACCCACCACCATGTTTCTGTCAGAATGGACAGTTTCCATGGAAAAATCAAGGTCCTTGTATCCCGTACCATAGCAGAGTGATACATGAAAATCAGATCACCAGTTGTGCCACAGGTGGGCATCAGCACCTTCATCAAACCCACTTGACGAGGCCAGTGCCTGCAACTCAAGCCTCTTGCTGTACTTGGCTCGCCGTCTCTCGTCGTACTCCTCCCACCCCTCAATCTGGCAAGCATAAATGATGGATGGATGACAAAAAAACGAAGGCGTTAAAAAAGTAAGAGAGCATGAGAAGCAATAAAACTCGTACTCATCATATCCCACTCTTCTCAATTTGCCATGTGCAAATGGTGTAAAAGACATTTGTGGCACCTCAAAAGGGAGACTGTAAAAACCGTATAGCGCACCCTCGACATCGAATGAAACGCGCTGGTGTATATCACATCACACAGTAGGGCAATCGCAATTGAAAGAGATTCCATAAAATGAGAAACGTGAGAAGCTCTTTGCAACTCAGGAGATGATCCTGAACCCTGAAGCTTCCAAGGTTGAAATACCTCGCGCAATTGGTCAGTGATAATCAGCTTTCCATGCAGGGAGAGAGTGAACAAATCCGTAAACCCTGTGAGGATGAGAGAATGGCTATATGAACCCTCTGAGGGGACCAAGGGTAGGACATACCTCGCGCAGTTGGTCAATGGTGATTTGGTTCCCATGCAGGGAGAGAGTGAAGAGCTCCGTGCACCCTGTTAGCACCTCTGAGGGAAAATTCTTGATTGCATTGTTGCTCAGCAGCAGAATCTGCACGTCAGAAAAATGACACAGTAGACAAATACAAACGATTCGTTAACCATCGAACATTATCCGCACCCCACCTTCTCTCTCCCCCCTCACCACGCTCCGTTTACTCACCCCACCTCTCCTCCAATCCAACCCAACCATTTCATAGCCTCAGAGGTAGCAACTTACCTTCAGATTGGTGAGTCTACCCAGAGCAGCTGGCACGTGGCAGATGAAGTTTGCAGAGAAATTGGCCTGCAGGTCAGCATTGGTGTCACAAACCACAGTGAGGCTAAGATATACATTTATACGTGAAGCAACAGGAAAAGGCAGAAACGGGAAGTGGTTAAAAATAGCTTATTCTGGGCAAGGGATCAACATCACCTCTGCAAGAGACGTGCATTCTGCCATGGAAGATGGGATGATCCCCAACCTGCAAAAGAAGACAGACGAGAGAATGCCAAATTCGCTTCAGTAGTTACTTTAAGAAGAGGCAAGCTGCAAAATAATCCCTGAGCAGTCCAGATAACAAGTGGATGACTAAAAAAAGAGAAAGGTGTCACCTTGACACCTGGACACCAATGTATGCCGCCACCTGGCAACTATCACCTGTTATGAGCAGCATCAATCCACTCTAGGTTCTTAAGCTGGCCAATCTCTGGCGGCAGGGAGGAGAGGGCGTTGTGGCTGAGAGCAAGGCGCTTCAGAGAGGAGAGCTGGCCGATGATGGACGGAATGAGCCCTATTCTGCAACACATAACCAGGAATATAGGAGGAGATCGTTCAATAAGGGCCAGAGGGTTGCCAATGTTGCACGAAACCACCCGTATGCTGCAACAGAGTCAGGGCTTCGATCAAACCAAGGTGGCAGGGGCAGGAAGGTGGCAGGGGGCAGGTGGAGGGGGTGCATGACTCAGATATGAGGGATTAGCGAAGAGGCGTTGCAAGGGGGCGCCAGCTGGTAGCATAATAAAAATCAAGTGCTCTGCACCCCTTATCCCGAACAGATTTTGGTCGAACAGGCGATTAGACGAAACCCTAAAATTAGTCTGATGAACCCAGTCAGCCTGAAACTTGGAGAACACTTACTGGTTGTGGTCGAGCGCAAGAGCCATGAGGTTCGGGAGGCGAGTCAGGGCTTCCCAGGCAATGGTGTTTTCTGTCAGCGAGTTGTGGCTCAGACGTAGCCTCTGCAACCAACCAACCATCACCATCAGGCCGGCATCCCCCGTTTAATTGAGCACTTGTTACCGAACAAACACAACAAATACAGTCAGCGTATGATTAGGTTTGCATAAATCATATACTGATTCTACAGAAACATCACCATAAGCACCAAAAGTGGAGCAAATCAGTGGAAAAACATATTAGTTTCTCATTAGGACAAGGCATATGCATGTCTGACCTGGAGGTTGGTCAAAGCTGTTACAGCTGGCGGGAAGATCCTCAGGCTGTTGCCACCCAGATCCAGAACACGTAGAGCGGGACCCGCAACCCACACAGCCCCCGGAACAACCTGAAACCAGGGAGAGAAAGGGGTCAGATCGAATCGTGGAAGATGAATAAGGAAAAACAAAACTTTAATCTAGAGGGAGAGGAGTAAGATTGGCTTGGAGCGACCCATGTCTACCCAGTAAGGAGTATAGTTTACTCAGTAACAACATAGACCCAACAAACGCGATTCTTGAGGAAAATGCGCGATTGTCTCCGCGTGTGCGAGAGCGAATGCGAAGGTGGGTGCGAACGGGAATGCGAATGCGAATGAGTGCCAGTGTGAGCGCACATGCGAGTGCGAATTCCGCATACGCTAGCATGAGCGAGCGCGGGTGCGTGCGTGCGTGCGCGCGGGCATGAGACCGCACGTGCATGCGCGATTGCGGCACTGACAGCGTGGTGCATGTGCGTGAGCGCGCGCGCGCTTGTGCAACGGGTGTGCGTGCGCGTGCGTGTTTGGGTAGGTGGGTAAAAATGGGAATACCCGCTGTCCGTGTGTTGGGGGTTGGATGGAGCGGGGGGGAAGGGGGAGGAGAGATGTGGAAGACACGAGGGGGAATGTACAAGGCTGCTAACCGGACCGCGCGCGTACCTGCAAGTTACTATCTCTTAAAGACACGATTCCTGTCTGCACCCACATCCGTTGTCTGGCCTTCTCTTGCCCCAGAGCGACCGGCGATGGCGCTGCAACCGACCGTTGCAGTCCTCTGCCGTATCTGTGGCTTGCTGATTGTCCGAGAGTGTAATGGTTGCCACCAGCCTGGAAAAGCGGAACGCCATTTCACGCAATACAACCACGCGACGCATTCTTAATTCAAGATTCGCGGACGTACTGAATCGTAGCGACGTAAGTAACGAGGTACAATAACGAGGCAAGGTGGCGAGGTACGGTGGCGAGGTAAGTGGATAGGTATGATACCGAAGTAAGTCACTCACCCCTTGATGCACTCCAGCCGTTGCCATGAGCATAATCTTCGCATTGTTGGTAATCTTCGCCTCCTCAAACGACATATCAGGGGTCAAAATCTTCCCTGCAAATATCGCGACAGAGTTAGTTAGGCGTCAGCGCATTCATAAACCTCGCAATAGCCAATCTGACCGTGAAAGACGCACCTTTGTATATAAGCTTCTGACCCCTGGAATGCACATTTGTTAACCCTTCCAATGTCTCCATTAACTCTTTGACAATGCATCCCGGCGACATCATCAGTTGATGCGTCTGCTGACCATGTTTCACAACCAATCTTAACTTCTCCTCCGCGGCATCTACCGCGGCAGGCTCGGGTTCTGGATCACCTCCAGCCATTATCGACCTCCCAAGCCTGTCATGCACTCGGAAAACCGCCAAAATAGATTCCTCCGAGGAAAAAAGGAAACTACGTCCTTACACTTCAAACGCCACTGTAAACAAGAATTAAAACGGCTCTGACGTCACGCTGCAACACTAACAGAAAACGTCCATCATAAGCTAGCGAAGTCCCTAAAGTCACGGAGAGATGCAACTACTACGCGATTCCTACATACCACTGACGAAGCAAGCAGTTAGGTTGGTGAAGCTTGCCTCCAAGAACAGACTGGAAAGAGGCCCTTGGGAACATCGATGGGGAGGGGAGACTAGAGGGCGTTGTTCGGCGAAACCCTGGAGCAACGGGGCTAGTGTGGTTGTGAGGAGGAGGGTTACGAGTCCTCGTTTACAGTTCGTGTACATATGTCCAGCCTGGTAACAAACGATTGAAAGTGGTGGAGCTATAATACTGTTCGAAAGTTCACAGACTGAACAGGAGGTGAGCCGTGACCAGCCGTGAGCCTCAGGCTTCATGTTTGGACTAACGCGTTTGCCCGATCAAAATCAAATCATTACACAGTGACAAAAAGTCAGCAAATGGTTAGAATATTGAGTGAGATGGACCTTATCAGTTAAATAGGTTAGACAGTAGAACCTAACGCTCCCTTAATTGGCAAATCGGCTGGGATTCAAGCTGTGACATGTTTTTCCTCATTTCACACGTCACATAAATCATGGACATCAGGAATACCATTTTGTGAACTGACTCAATGGGAACACTTAAACAAATAATGGACAGCATGCATGGACATGACACACTTGACCAGATACTCCACATTCCTAGCATACTGGACCCCATGCACCTACATGACAGACTCCAGTACTCAAACAGTGGCCCTGGCCGACCTAACACCTAAGCTTTCTGACAGTGAAGCACTGACGAGGACTAGACCAAAGCAGCAGACTGTCATACTGCAATGCACATGACATCACGACTTGACAACTCGACAAACCCTAAGTGTAAGCTGTCATGACAACACCAAGACCTGAAGTTTTCCAGACCCGCACGACCGTGATGTCAGAACGAGCACCCAAACCCATCCACCCTATCAACTCGAAGCGGCTGTGATGGCTGCAATCCTGCTCTGCGCCCATTCTGCTGTTTCCTTAATGGATTCGTCTGAGTTCAAGCACTCCTCAATGAACTCCCGGTGGAAGCGGTGGGTGGCAAAAAGCTGAGCAGCAGCGACTCCGAGAGTGTCAGCCAAATCTCCCAAAACACCAACCGCAGCCTTGGTCACAATCTCATCCCTGCATTGTCAAACACCCAGATAAGGTCAAAATATATTTCAGTCAGCAGCAAGTCATAATTGGTGACAGTGGACATCCAAGCACACTCCTCGCCACCCAACACCTAGCCTCCCATCCCAAAAAGAAAACACATTCAACAGCATGCAACAGCTCCCTCACGCTTGGCACCAGTCCAAGAGTTAACTCACACACATAGGCATCATACCGGCCTCATACACCCAGAGACCTGGTTATTGGTTAAAAGATCCCTTGTACACCCCAAGACCTCACTCAAACACCCCCCGTACATCCACTCACTTGAAGTTTTGCCATGAGATGGCTCTTGCTCGTTCCAATCACAGCCCATTTCCGAAAAACTCAGTGTGTCATCACATGCCACTCCAATCCCTACCCCCAGGAGACGCACCTTTGCTTGGCCACGTACACATTCTCAATGGACACCATAAAGAGCCATGAATTGTGTGTCATTTTCAACCACCCCACCCATCACAAATTACCCGTTCCCCAGGCGACGCACCTTAGTTCGTTCAAATGTACCCTTTTTCAATGAACACCACTAAGACTCATCCATCGTGTGTTATTTCCAAACACCCCAGCCATCAAGTATGTCTCTCTACCCACCCTTCCCCACCCCATCTCCCCAAACGACGCACCTTTGCTTGTCCAGGTACACATTCTCGATGAACAGCAGGATGTGCTCCGCGTACGGCGCCATGAGCTCCGGCTTCGTCGCCTTGAACCCCTGGAAAATCCCTGAGTACGCCTCAAAGATCCCCGCGCGCAGCTGGTTGTTGTACTCCACCACCTCGTCCCACACGTCATTCATCCCCTGCTGCGCCGACAGCTCCGCCGCGCTCTGCAGCATCGGCATCGCGTAAGCAAGATACTTAGCAAAGTGTTCCCCAATAGCCAGCGCAATGTCCCCAAAGCAGGAGAAGATAGGCGGCTTCACGCTGCGGTGGAGCTGGTCCGAGGAGAGGTCTTTGAGCAGCTGCGTCATTATGCCGTCGCAGTAGGGTAACACGGCTTCGTCCAGCGCTCTGCAGATGTCGCCCACCACGCCTACAGTTACTGCGCACACCTGGTACTCCTCGAAGTTCTGCAGACCCATCTCCAGGTAGCGGTAGAACTCGGGCATGTACTTGCCAAAGTCGGGGCCTGCAGCACAACCACGCGGCATTCAACAATCATGCAGCAGCAACGCAGAAGAAAAACGACATCAGCTTCCCTTCAGAAATTTCCAACCCCATTCCCGTCAAAACCAAGGCCAAATGACACGGAATCTAAGCACCGGCATTCAATTCATAACGGAGCGTGAGTGATTCAGGTCCTAGTGATGAAGTCATACCTGTGGAGTACGCAAGGGCTCCAATGGCGAGCATGGCCTCTTCGTGCACCGTGGCATTGCGGCAGGCGAAGACTCTGAGGAAGAGAGCCATCATCTGATCGGCGTACTGTGTCACTCCCGTCTTGGTCGTGTCGTTACCTCCCAGCTTCTGAATGATCACCTGTTTTGGCAAGGAAAACGGAACAGCAGAAACATGGAGTCAACTTCTTGCACTAGGAAAACCTAATCTGTCCAGCAAAAGCGTGAAACAGAGTCAAACTGAGAGCACACGCAAGAAAACGCCAGAAAGGCGAGCAGCTTTTACCTGGAGCACGCCGCACAGCAGCGCTTGGAGCTCGCTCTGCTTCTCGCGGTCGTCCGTGGAGATAATCTGCATGTCCATGGTCCGCGCCAGCTTCTCCATGATCACCGGCGTCAGCTGCGCCGTCGTCGCCGCCGTGTCATCCCCGGAGCACCGCACGATCTCGTTCAGCGTCTCGTACGCCGACGATCTCAGCCGCGAGTCCGACGCGTCCTCCCTGTCGGCCGTAGCCAGCAGCGCCGTGATGAGCGGCTGGAAATACGGAGTCATGGACAGCGCTCCCTCGCTGCCTTCCGACCCTTGCGCGAGGAAGTAGATCGCTCCGCACACCTTCTCGGCCACATTCGGAACGTCCTTGAGGCTCTCGATCAGGACAGCCAGGATGGCTGGGAGATTCGTCGCATTAATAATCGGGTTCTCTGGTGAAGATCCGTGCACGATCTCAAAGATCCGGCCGAGAGTCCATGCTGTTGTGTCTTTCACATGCGCATTCTCGTCCTTCATCGCATTCAGCATGAATCCCAGCGCGCTGTTCACCAGAGGTACCAGCTGCTCCGTATCAGGACCCTCGAGGATAGATCCAAACGCGTACGTCGCAGCTTCCCTGTTTCTCCATTCCGGCTTGCTGATGTTCTCCTGGACGTACGGCATGACTAGCGGAACGATATCATTCCCGACCGTTCTGGCGACCAGACCCAAGCAGGTACCTCCAGCCATGGCCAGATTCCAAGCCGTTTCATCCGAATCCTGACCCTCCTCTTGTTTCGTCAGGGTCTCCAGCAGCATAGGAACGAGCGCCGGAAGAGCCTGCTTAATAAAATTGAAATTCGTGACCTCAGAGTCCGCCGTGTACTCTTCCTGTAGCTCGATCTCCTCGTCACAGATCGACGACCATAACTCCACGGCTTGAAGCGCAACGGGTTCCTGGTCTTCTCTCGTCGCCTTGGCCGTGATCTGGAAAATGTCGTTCATGTACGGCGCGAGCTTCGAGTAGTAGGTCGACGAGATGGCCACCAGGCACTCAAATGCAGCTTGCCGAACCCTCACGTCAGGACACAGCGACGCTTCACAGATGACCGTCATAATGTAGTTCCGCTCCACCTCGTTTTCGAAGTTGGTTTGCGCGAATTCAAGAGCGTTGGAGAGTGCTCTTGTAGCAGCCAGCCTGATATCGTTGTTCGGCTCCGTCTTGTTCATCCCTTGCACAACAGCAGTCAACACACTGTTGACCTGCTCTTGAGCCAGAGAGTCAGTCCCGGCGATCTCCTCACAAACGAATCCCAGAGCTTCAAGAGTGCTCTCTTTCAGGTGATCTGGCTGCGGTTGGGTTGGCGATCCCATGTTACCGAGCAAGCCTACGACGAGTTCAGGCCACTCATTCCGTGGAAGCTCAATGGCAGCGATCTTAGCAATAACCTGAGCCGATGTATGGCGAGCATCTTGGACTGGTGATCCAAGGGTTGCGAGAAGAGCGGCCTTGATCTGTCCCTTGATAGCAGCATCTAGAGCAATCCAACGTTGAATAAACTCGGTCTTCCTAGTAGACTCCTTCGCGTCGAGAGAGTTCTTCAGAATGAGACCAGCAAGCCGCCGAGAATCTGTCTGCTTTTCCGGATTCGCAAGCTCCAGGGACAAGGAAACTAGGTATGCCGGAAAGTTGGAATCCTGAAGCTGCTTCAAGTTTTCCTCCGCCAACCTTCTGACATTTCCATCAGGAGACTGAGCATTTAAAAGAACCTGCGTAATATCCATACTGTAAGGAAGAAACACCAATCAAGAGCTTTAGCACTTCAGATTGGAAACAAAAACGGCTGCGCGGAAAGAGACTGACAACTACGCGGATCAGGTCTATCCTCCTAAGAACTAGCCTCTATCTTGCACGTCCTGTAATCTAGGGCTAATTCGTCTGGAGGAAGGGACAACACAACAGAGACTCCAGGTAGAAGTACCAGGCTATTGTGACACTGCTAAAATATGGTTTCAAGCAAAGCTTGTGGGGGCCATTGCCCGACCTTGGTTCCAAGTTCCAGAATCCCAGATCCGAGGCGTCCAGACTCCTGGGAAGAAAAGGAGGGAACTGAACTGATGGAAGATGCTAGAAACGGGAGCGACAGGGGACTCTGTTGCGTTGCGATAGCGACGCTCCTGAAGATCGTACGGCTCGTAACCATGGCTCGTGCAAACCATGTGCGATTGAATGGATCCCAGATGACCTTCGAATTCGCCTGCTTCTGCGACTACATGTGGGGTGATTCCCTGCGCGGCGATGTTGTGGATGTCCGCAAGAGATTCGCAACCTCTTTGCGAAGAGTGTGCGATGCGAGTGGAAGAAGCAACGAAGAATTTGAAGCCAGGATACAGGAAGCGGCAAATCAGCGCGCATTTACCCCCTGACAGGCGCCGCGTGAACTACTAATCTCACGTTCTGTTTTTTTGCTGCGCTAAGACTTTTGGGGCTTTGTTCTTTGCTTTCAGAAAGCGAGGTGAAAGTCCAGTGAGGATCTATACACTGGGCTGTTGAAGATATGAAGCTGGAAAATCAAAGCATATCTTGTTGCGAAATGTACACCAGATCTCTAAAACAAATCCACCCTTTGGTCTGCAAAATTTAATGACATTACACTATATTCACCCAGCAGCTTGTCGTTTGCTTGATCTTATATTACCACTAATTGAACAATCTAGTGGCAAAATTTGACATGTCCTTATACACCCCTGTACCGTATTACGACACCACCTTATGATAGAAGGACACATACAAGATATGCTAGGAGTATAATAGGTGGACATGGCAAAACCTAACTGGTCCAGGTGGCTAACTACCTAAAGGTACCTACGCTTTCCTCATTACCTAGAACCGCTTTCCAGTGCTTCGCACTGGCCCTCAACTCCCAAAAAATCTAACAAACGAGGCCATGTCTCAGGAATCCCACCCGTAATTTCGAATTCCATCAAGCGGCCTCTTTCATTGTAGAAGTCCTCCACAGGTTTGCTCTGCACGGGGAACATGCCAGAAGGTGGATTCAGTTTAGAAACAGAAAACCCAAGACATATGCAGGGCCAAAACGTCTGACGGAGCCTCACCAGTTCTTCATAAACCTTCAGACGAGCCAGAACTGTTTCCTCTGTGTCATCCGCCCTTTGGACAAGCTTGCCTTCACAACCAGCTGGTGCTGGCAGTGGAGGCATGAAAATGGCTGGCTTTCCATCTTGTGCGGGAATGTCAATGTTAGCAACATTGTAATTACCGCCACAGTCTGAACATAATCTACGCCCCAGCATCTTCTGAACCAGGACTTCCTCCCGAAGGGTCAGGTTCACAGCCAGGTCAATCTGTGTCATGGACTCCAATACCTCCTGCACGGGGAAAAGGATGAAATGATAAGGACCGTGTACAGGACCCATCAACAGCGGAGAAACGGCTTATCACCACCCTACCAGAACCAGAACAGGGGGCAGATGAGGGCGACAAACTCCAATCACAGAAAGATTAACGGCCGTCGTGCTTACAGCCTATTAGCATGCGGATCACGACGTATTGGACTCCCAAGCCCCAGTGAAACTTACTGCTTGTACGGCTGTGCGAGGAAATCCGTCCAGAATGAAACCACCTTCGCCCGTGACAACACCCTGCTCTAGCCGTTTTGATAGAAGATCGAAGATAATATCATCAGAAAGGAGCTGACCGCGATTCATCACTTCTTGCATCTGCCATCGAGAATATCACGTGCCGTGGGCTCAGTACATTGTCAATTAGCTGAAAATAAGTTTCCGTCGACGGCCTCCCACACTTGCCTTGATCGCGATCGGCGATCCGTTCTTCAACTCCTCGCGAACCAGATCGCCTGTAGAGATGTGAGCAATATTAAGGTACTTGCTCAGTCTGCTCGCGTATGTACCTTTTCCTGCTCCGGGTGAACCCAAAAAGACCCATTGTATTCTTCTGTCGACACCGCTCAGAGCATGTTGAGGTTCTGCAGCCAGCCGCCTCGCAGCTGGTGCGACTTCTCGCGAAAGATTGGAAAACTGCCTCCAAAACACAGCTGCTTGAGATCCTATGACCGATCCAGCCGCCTGAGCTAATCTTCGGCCCGCCAGGGCCATACTTGCTCTTCTCACAACGCACTCAGATCGCGCTGCGCGCGTCAGCTAGAACAAGTTGTGCGAGTCAAGTATTCTGATCGGCGAGGTCGGCGAGGAGGCGACAGGATCTCTCGACTCACTCACGACGAAACAACTTTTAGAGCGAAAACAAACTAGAAATGGAGCCTGTCGCTGCTGTCTAGCTGTTGGCGGGTACCACGCCAGGAAAGCAGAGCCACCAACACTACACTAGACCAGTGCCCAGCTTGAGGTCGACCTTCTCGACTACTGTGTAGTTTTGATCTTGTCGCTGCCCAAGAGCCCAGCTGCATGTTCTGTGCTAGTCAGCTGTTCCCATGTCAGCAGCACCAAAAGCTGGGCAGAACAAATTTTCTTGTCCTGAAAATCCCAGCACCTGCCTTTTCTTGCCATCCGACCGCGACTCGATGACCGGTGGTGCTCAATTACCTGTCACCTCCGTTCCCAGTGTGGTGGAAGTGTGCCCATGATGACGTGGAAGAGGGTTCAGGGGTCTCTCAGTTCCAGCCATAAAAACGGCAGTCAGTGGACGTCGGCGTGTGGAGGCTCCCCGAAATTCCAGAATCTACGCTCTGTGACTTGACACACGTGTAAGACATCCACCTCAAGAGGAACAATGGACGGCTCTCTCTCTCCGACAGTTGTTGGAAAGTGGAGATGGGTAACGTTTGTCCAATGCGAAGACATGCGAAAGGTACAATCACGCCCAGATGTTACACCTTGGAAATGACGGGGAAAAGTCAAATGCTGCTGTGATCGGCTTGCACATTTACTAGTCTTCTGATGTTGATGTTGGCTGTTATTTCAGAGACTAATTCCCGAGCGACATTTACCATGGCGTGTGGTGCCGTTTGCCAGTATAGACTTCCAAATGTATTTCCCTCGACATGCCTGGAAAGTTCAATAACCAAGTTGAGAGTCCCATCCCCCAAGGAAATTAAATTGTCGAAGGGTTTGCGTTCTTCGCGCTCCACTTCATGGAGCAGAGCCGAGCTTGCCTCGTCACCATGTACTGTACGAGTGGAGGAGGCTGTGTCATCAACCGAACTCAGAGCTGCTGCGTCTTTGCGTTCGTTTTGCTTCTTCACTTGTCCCCCTGACCGTTCATCAGAATTCGTGGAGGTACGGAAAATTGCAGGTGCCTTCCGCTACTTCCCCACTTTTATCCCTCCCTTTCTCTCCGCATAACTGGACGTAACCTATTTTATGGTTCCTTTTGCAGCGACATTTGTTCATGAAAGCCATGGAGGAGGCGCAATGCTTGGAAGATAAAGTTGCTGGACTCCTTCCAGGCTTCAACCGGGTCTCATGTTTGGTAGCGACCGTACCTGAAGCCAGCGCCGCAATCTTGCAACCTGGTCAAGAGCCTGTAAGTTCGTTGGTTTTCAGTAATAATTCCTGCATTTATTAACGTTGACCGACTGACTGTTCTTGTTTTCTTCGTATACAGCGTGCATCTCTGCAAGTCGCTCAAGGATGGGTTGTTGGAACTTTGGACCTGAATTTAGGGCTTCGCTTGCCTGGTGAAAATCTTGGCGGAAAGTACCCTGATAAGGTACTCACTAATCAGAACTCCTGTGGTCATGGCAGAAGGCGAATATTAGGTCCGTCTTACTCGTGATCTGTTTGTAACCATATGGCATTTCTATGTGCTCAGGGCTTGCACATAGAGTCAAGACGAGCCTATCTATCTAATGTTTGCGTGGCGCCAGCTGCCAGAAGACTTGGAGTTGCCTACAGATTGATGCAATCAGCAAAAGATCTTGCACGGAGTTGGGGTGAGTCATTGCTGTTTGCTCAACTGTGTCTCTGCTTCCCTCTGTAATCTGTTTCGGCAGACTTACACTCGCCTTACCTGGCCTGCAGGTGTGGAGCATATGTATGTTCATGTAGTCAAGAACAACGACCCTGCACGACTGTTGTATCTCAAATCTGGATATGAAGTGGAGCAGGAAGAGAAGGCAAATGTTGCCAGATCCATGGGTCGCCCTGCAAGGCTGTTGTTGCACCTTGATATACGCTGATATGGTATACTCTATGCTCCAACCAGCAGACAGCACACCAACGCGTACTCAGCTTCTGGATGGCTATCCGGTGCAACAGTTAGAGCTGGTTTCCACTTTGAGCAGTCACAAAGTTTTTATATGAAGTGTGGGCCAATCTTGAGTGCTCCTCAAACATCTCCACCTATCCCTTGTTCTATGCGGTTGGAAAGTAGGTAGATACTATCGGTAACATGGTTGAAGAAAGGAATTGTACAGGATGCACTCGAGCATTAGAAAAACCTGACATTGCTGTCTGCTAGTACAGTAATTCAACTACCTAATGCCTCACTTTACAAGACGTCACATGATGCTTTCAGGGAACTTGCTACTGACAATGGTCGTGCCAGAAATTCACATCTTCCAAGTGTAGTACTCGTATAATCACATCTTCATGGCTGTGCGCTTGTGTCATCACTCTCTCCGCTCGATGAAACATGTCCATGGAGCGCTTGCTCTGGAGCCCCATGCGACCAAAACGACTCCACATCTGAAGTCCTCATAAACGCAGGGCTGACAGCATCCGCTGCAACCCCACAATTCAAGTACGCCTCCATGTCGATTCCTGAAACCCCGAACCCAAACGGGGAGCTCACAGGACCCTGCAGGCTTGCATCCCCTGAAGCTCCAAACAATCCACCAGTGGTAACCGCACCTTCGCCTCCCGACCCCACACCTCCTGCTCCCAACCCACCCCCTCTATCCGGGTATCCATAGGGAGCTGGAGAAGCAGACCTGGAAGGGGGGCCTAGAACAGCATCCCCCGGCGAAGAAGCAGACAGTGAAGTAGTAGGAAAGAGAGAAAACCCCCCAAAAGGAGAAGAGAAGAGCTCAGTGGAGGGGCGACGGGGAAGGCCGTCAGCCTCAGGAGTTCCAGAGATGGTAGAGGAGAAAAGATACTGGTCACGAGGAGGGGACAGAGCATCCCTGGTTCTGGCAGGTGGTGCAATCACGCGCGGGGAGCGAGGAGAGGAGGGCGAGCCGTGGAGGAGTGAAGGCCCGAGGATTCCCGAGGAGTGGGGTACAGAGGAGGTGGTGGGTGGAGGAGGAGAGGCGGTCAGAAAGCCTCGGTCTGAAAAGAAGAGGCTTGATGGGTGGGAGATGCCTGTTGGGTGTGGGGATGTCCCAAACGATGCAAGGTGGTCGAAATGGTTACCCCACAGATCGTACACAGCTGCTTCGTCATCACCTGCTCCTGCCAGCCCACCACCTGAAGAACCTTCCAACCGCACCCCACCCCTTGAAGCTGCAGCAACCCCCGTGCCTCCACCACCACCAGCACAAGCAGCAGCAGCAGCAGGACTGCCACCAAACGCCACAGCTCCGGGCAACCCATCCTCCCTGCTACCACTCCTGGCAAACGAGCCCACTGCCAGATCCGCAGCAGCTGCTAGCTCCCCCCTGCTGCCACCGCTCCCCCCACTGCTACTCCCCCCACCAAGAAAACTCCCCACTCGGCTGCCCGGGCTCAGCAACCCTGGAACCTTCCAGGAGTCTGCAGCGGCAGAACCAGCACCGCTGCCACCGCCGCCGCCACTACTGGTGCTGCTGCCGCTGCCGATGGCGACAGGGGTGGAGGAGGGGGGAAGGCGCCGATGCACCAGGATAGGGTCGGAACAGGTGTTGACAAAGGAAGGGGTCTTGGGAATAGATGCCATCCTGCTCGCTCCTCCTCCTCCGCCTCCTCCCCCTCCTCCCCCACCTCCTATCCCCCCTAGTCCTGCAGGCAGAGGTGAAGAGAAGGAAGCAGATATCTGAACGTGCCAGCTGTGCGCAACGCCTTCGCCAACTGCTGTTGGCCGTGCTGCTGGTGGCACTGCTGCCGCTGCTGCTGCTTCTGCAGGAGGAGAAAAGGGGTCCGGTGGTGGTGGGGAGCGGGAGAAGGAACGAGCAACTTGCTTGCCAGAAGGTAATCCAGCCGAGCCAGCTGAACCACCAGAAGCAGCCGACTTGCCCCGTCCAAAAGCCAAACCTGCTTTCTCTGGGGTAACCCTCATGCCAGCTGCACCAGCTGCTGCTACAGACCCACGGCCCACAAGCTTCTGCTGCTGCTGCTGCTGCTGCTGAAGCTTCTGCTGCGTTGCCTGCTGCTCCTTCTCCTTCTGCTGCTGCTGCTGCTGAAGCTTCTGCTGCGTTGCCTGCTGCTCCTTCTCCTTCTGCTGCTGCTGAAGCAGTGCCCGAGCAGCAGTCTTCCCAATAGCCACAGGCTTCACACCAGCTAGAGCAAGATCGTTTGCCGAAGCAGCACTGATCCCAGCACCTGCGGCATCTCTTTTGCTACTGCTACCAGTGCTTTGACCAGCTGATGGGGCCGGAGAGGGCTGTCTGGGAGCACAAGGAGGAGAGACCACAGCAGATTCCCTGATTCCCTGGTGGTGGGAAGTGGTGAGAATTCCTGACACTTCTTTCAACTTCCCTCCGCCTCCTTCCCTCTCCTTCTCTCCAGGCCCCTGCTTCTTCCCACCACCACCCTCCTTTGTGGGACTCTCTACAGGAGAGCGAACCACCAGGGATCCAGACACAGCAACGGCCGACACAGGGACCAGCTTCGGCTGATCCTTGCCTCTCTCCTTCCCTTCCTTCCTTCCCTTCCCTTCTCCTGCCTGCTTCCCTCCAGTCCTGGTCGAATCCTCACTACCGGAAAACTTACCGAGCTCTGCACCCTTCTTCTTGTCAGCCCCAGCAGGTTTTTCTGCTGCGACCACAGAAGCAGGAGCAGCAGCAGCAGCAGCAGCAGTGCTCGCAGGAGGAGAACCAGCAGCAGCAGGGGCACTAGGAGCAGGTGACGGCTCCCGTGCTGCTGCCTGGCCCTTCTTCTTCTTCTTCCCCGTCTCAACAGCACCTTGCTTCTCCTCTGCAACCTTCCTGTCAACCGCCCCTAGCTTCTCCCCCACCCCTAGCTTCTCAACCACTCCCACCTTCTTCTCCTCCTTCCCACCCTCCTCCTGATTCTTCTCCTCCTTCCCATGCTCTCCCTTTTTCTCTCCTGCCGCCTCTGTACTGCCTTTTGACCCCTTCTCCTTCACCTCTTCAGTCTCTGCAGACTTTTCCTTCTCCTTGACTTTCCCCTTCTTTCCTTCCTCCTTCTGAGTCTTCTTTCCCTTCTCCTTCTCACTCTCCTCCTCCTTGCGTCCCTGCTCGTTCTCCTTTGACTTACCTGATTCCTTCTCACAATGAGCCTCCATCTCCGCCTGTTTCTTCTCCCTTTCCTTCTCCCGCTCCTTCTCCTTCTCCTTCTCCTTCTCCTTCCCCTTCTCCTTCTCCTTCTCCTTCTCCAACTCCCTTTCTCTCATCTTCTCCTCCTTCCCCTTCTTCCCACGCTGCTTCTTCTCCTCCCCTTTACCAACCCCCTCCTTCCCCCCTTTACCACCACCCCCCTTGCTACACGCACTGGGGTTCCAAGTCGCCCCACTTCCCTCCTTCCCAGCCTTATCGCCCCCAGTACCCCCTTCCATCACAGCAGGAGCAGCAGCAGCCAGATTGTCAGTTCCAGCAGCGCCACCACTAGCAGCAACAGCATCAGCCTCTTTTTGGCTGCTCTTACCCCTACCTGAAGGAACAGAAGCGGATTTCACAAACACTCGAGCCGCATCGGGTACCCCGGTCCCAAATGACTCCCCTCCCACTCCACCTGCAACAGCTACGCCTCCCCCAGTTGAACCTGCTGCAGGCGCAAACGCCCCTGCTGTTCCTAAGTCTGCGCTCTTCCGTGCTGCCTGACCAGCTGCCACTGCCACCGACTTTTGAGGCGCCTCAAAAGTCGCCCCTGCTGTTCCTAAGTCTGCGCTCTTCCGTGCTGCTTTACCAGCTGCACCTGCCACCGCTGTCACAGTTGCCTCTCCTGCAACCAGCATCGCACTCTTCCCTGCCCCACGATCAACACCCACCTGCTGCTGCTGCTGCTCCTGCTGTTGCTGGGATGCCATCTGACCTGCTGCAGACTCGGGCTTCTGGCCTGTATGTTTCTTCCCTTGCTCCACTGCCTGGGGAGCATTCAGCACCAGCCTTGACGCCTGCTGACTTGGTAAACCCACATGCTGCTTTTGCTGCTGCTTCTGCTCCTGCTGCTGCTGTTGCTCCATATGCTGCTTCCGCACTGCCAGCACCGTTTCTAGTCCAAGCCCAATCTCAGCATCAGTAACGCCATCATCCTCCCCATCCGCCCCATCTGTAACCTTCTCCACTCGGGTTACCACCCAGGACGGCCCAGAATCCCCCATAGGGCCGTCATGCCCCTTCCCAACAGGCATCCCCACAACGCCACTCACCCCTCCACCCGCTTCTCCTCCCTGCCCTCTCCCTGCAGAAATCGGCGCCACCGAGACTCGAACCCTGACCACTCGCGCTCGCGTCTCCGCATCTGCTGGAAAACTCCCGCCTCCCACCCCGCCAACCCCCACTCCCCCAACCAACCCCACACCTCCCGCTCCCCCTGCGCCTCCCCCTCCGCCCGACGCCCCTCCCCCTCCTCCGCCAGCAGCGGAGCCATGAAGCTGATTCGCCAGCAGCAGCGCATTCTGCTTCTTCTGCAGTCTCCTAGTCAGCGCTGCCGCCGCAGCAGCAGAGAACCCGGGGAACCACGGGGAGGGGAACAGCGTAAGCTGAGACACAGCCGCCCGCACCAGCAGCCCAAACATGGCTACTAGCATCGAAGCCACCACAGCTTTCATGACTGAATCCATAGGATGCCTCGGCTCCGCGTCTATAGCAATCACTGCAAGGTTCCTCGGAATGTACCCTCGGATTGGCAGCTCGTGCGCACCAGCGGATGACTCTATATGGAGGACGGCACGAACTATAGTCGAGGTGAGATCCGGTGTAAAAGAGAGGAGCAGAGGCGTGGATTGGCCAGGGGCGAGAGTGAAGGGCTCGCATGGATGGATGGAGAATCCACGGAGGGAACACACGACCTTGCTCTTGCTCGCGTGCAGGCTCATACTCAAGACTTTCAAGGGCAAATCGCCCCGGTTAACCAGCTTGAACTTCCGCTCGGCCACTACCGGCCATTTCACCCTCCCTACGCTGGTCTCCACTTCAGTCACATAAAACCTCGGATACGCCCCCCCTGCCGCCCCCACCAGCCTCCGCCCCCGCCGCTCCTTTACAAGCACATGCTCTTCAGTCACATTCACCATCAGCAGCATTTCCGGCCCTCTGCTCCCAATCACATGCAGCACCCCCGACCCCCCTTCCCCTACCATCCTCACCTCTTCCAACAACGTCAGATTATTCCGCACATAGACTGATCCGTTATACACACACCCAGCAGCATCCGGCCGGAAAACCACCGGCCCCAGCCGCCCCTCCCACCTGGGCGGCAGAATCAAATCCGTCACTGCATCTGCCGCCAAGGTAAAACCCGCCCCACCCTCCTCTCTCTCCTTCGTTACACCCAACCCAAGCCAAGGTGCTCCAAAACCCAGCCAGGGAACGCCTAAGTGAGAAGCCAAGTTGAGGGTCCAGGGGGGTATGCCAGCCGCGGCTAACCAGCGGGTCGGGAGGAGAGGGGAGGGCGGAGGGGAGTTAGGGTTGGGTACAGGGCAGAAGGGCGGACCCTTTGGCTCTCCCCCCGAGCAACCAGTTTTACTGCTGCCAGCGCCGCCGCCGCTGCTACTGCGGCTGCTGCTGGTTGTGGCACCAGTGTTGCTCTTGCTGCTCCTGCCACTCCCACCCTTGCTGCCACTGCTGCTGCTCCCAGCACCACTCTTGCTGCTGCTGCCACCACCGCCGCTGCCCCCACTAGCGCCATTACCCCCACTGCCAGCACCCTTACCTGCACTTCCGCCCCTACCGTTGCCGTTCCCACCGTTCCCATTCCCACAAACCCGAAATCCCAACCCTTCATCCATCACCAGGCGCACGCGCACAGGGTAATCACTCGGATTCTGCACCAAAACCATCTCCCCTGCTGCTGTTCCCACCTGTACCCGACCGTACTGCAAACCTGAAGAAGCTTCTGACACCACTCGAGGCTTCGCCAGTACCCCTTTCACCTCCACAGCCTCCGATTCCATCACTTCCGTTTCAAGAACTAACGAGGATACAATCACATTCTCGCCTGCACGAACCACGCGCGTCCACTCGTCCAGCCTCCCCTGTGCCGTTTCCCGTTCCTCTATGGTCACATCTTCACCCCACGGGTCCCTCTCCTCGCTATTATCACCGCCTGCACTTCCCCTCCCGCCGTCCTGCAGTCTCTCTAGCATTCGCCCCCAGCTCTCGCTCCCGTTAGAAGCACATCCGCTTGCAGTCACGAAGGTTTCCCGCAACGGCATGGAAAACACAAGATCGCCCAACTCCGTTCCATTAGATGGCCCCAGCACAGAAGCCTTAAGATCAGCGGAAACCCTAGAATCGGAAACCCTAATTCCGGTCACGGCAAGGGGATGCGGGAAGGTGCTGTTCGCAGAGAGCTTTATCCGATGGGCCTTTCCTGGAAAGAGAGACGGGAACACGAGCGGAAGCTTCGGGGAAACCGCAATCTCGCCTCGGAAAGACGCGAATTTGAGGTCAAGCTTCAGTAGTTGGTGCTTCGTTTCAAGCACCAGCAGCTCCAAACCTGCTCCTTCCGTTACAGGAGCGAACTCTACAGTCACTTCTGCCGTATGGAACTCTGGAATGCTGAACAATCCGCAATTCTCGCACTCTAAAACCACCTCTTGGCCTGCACGTGGGCTTTTGAGGACCAACGACGGCTTTGCAGTAGCAGCTGTAACCGTACTCCCACTGCTGACGGTGCCACTGCCAGTGTTACCACTACGACTCTCGCTGCTGTTGCTGCCGCTGCTCCTCGTTCCTTTCTTCGCACCTCCTCCCCCTCCTGCCCCTCCTGCTCCTGCTGCTGCCCCTAAGCCACCAGTCCCTGTCCCCCCTTCCACAGATGACCTAGCAAGCGTCTGCAGGTGTAACCTAATCGGGAGGTGAAATACTTGGTGCTGAGAGGATGGGAGAGCAGATGACATGGCCACAGGCACAGGGGCGCGCTCTGCCTCCCTCTCCTCCATGTGGATAACGTCGCTGACGTGGACAGTGACGTGGCGGGAGGAGCACGACGCGGACATGATGGCGACCGGAAACGGGCCCGGATTGGCCAGGCGAAACGATATGTTTCGTCTTGAACCGGGGAGAATCAAGCCGAAGTCCAAAACCCCGCGACTGTTTCCCTGCAGCTGCTGCTCCTGCTGCTGCTGTTGTTCCTCCTCACCCTCGTACCGACCATCAGAATGCGTGCCTGCGTCTCCCCCAACGCGAAACCCCGCCTCCTCTTCCTCCTTCTCTTCCTCTTCCTCTTCCTCCTCACCCAATACCCTTGTGCCAACACCCCCCATTATCGCCCCTTCCTGGATACTAGAGCGGGTGGAGGGGGGAGAGCGGGAAGCACTCATGCTGCTATCTGCGGATGCTGCTGCAACTGCTGCTCCTCCTCCTGCTGCTGCTCCTGCTGTCAACGGAACGTCCAAATCCAATAGCCCAGGCAGCACGTGCAAAGGCACAACCATATCACTCACATTCGTCGCTATAGTGAAGTTCACTATAGTGAGTGACAGCGGCAATTTCTCCGGATTCAGCTGCAAAAGAAACGGTTTGCTGGAGCCGCCAGGGGGGAGCAGAGAGGACGGGAAATCCTTGGCCTGAATGCAGTCGTGCGAAAAGAACGCGTCGTATACGAGCACCGGGCAGGAAAACTTATTTCGCAGGACCAGCTCCTTGGTCACCGCAGATCGAACAAACCCAATGTTTTCTCCCCCGGGCTGCCCAGACAATTCTCCCTCCTGCTTCTTCTCTTTCCCCGGTGCTGCTGCGAAAAAAAAGACGGTGTTTTCGACAGGCTCCACTGTCACGCTACCAAGGACTATCCGCGCTTTAAACGGCACCTCTACAAGCGACGGACTTGACTGCGCCGTCTGCACCACTACACGTCCCCTACGTGTAAAACCCTCAATTTCCGGTCCTACCTCTCCCCCTCCTCCCCCTCCCCCTCCTGCTTTCCCGTTTAAACCGGCCGACAAGCTATAGCCTGCGTATTTCAGCTCTGCAACTTGCACAACCTTCCCGGGCGGCAGCTGCTGTCCTTTGCGGAAACGGGCAGCTTGCAAATGTTCGTCTCTGACCGCGAGCCGGACGTCTTCTACCGCCGCCATCGTGCTGCCGACGTTCCCCAGTTCCACGTGGCGGATCACCGTGTCTCGCGCTGACGTCAGCGTGCCGAAGTCGATCTCATCCGCCATTGAGACGACGCCACCTGGCGACGTCGTCAGGTCAATCGGCAGAAGCAGGTACTCGCAGTCGCAATCCGCGTGCGCCTCGACTTTAAGAAAAATACTTAGCGACAGCCTCCCCACATCTCCGTGAACCGCCTCTATCACCAGCACCTCCTCTGTTCCCCCTGGCTTCACTGTAATATCACTCCCTATAGCGTCACGCAGGTACGACCACGTGTCGTCTTCCATTCCCAGCTCCACCCCTCCAACCGTAATCTTCACCTCGCTTCTAGAACCGGGCGGAAGCTCCATTGGGCCGTCTTCCCCCGATATAAACACATCCACTTTGGATTGTACGTCGGTGATTGTAACGGGCCACGGCATTGTGTTCTGCATCCAAACGGGGTGTATAATTCGCTGTCCAGGCAACGTTCTTAAACTCGTTCTCGGTTCCAAGCTAAACGGGGACGGGAGACCGTAACCGAACAGCGGGATGACGATCGGCCCTGCGCTAGTCTCTACCGTCAGATTCCCGTCAATAGTTCCGAGTGCCCGGGGCAGGAAAAAAAGACTGATGAAACTAGCCGACCGAGGCTTGATAACGAACTCGTCGAAACTTGCCATGTAGCTCGCCATATAGAAATCGAAGGAGCTGCTTGTAGCGGATTCGATAACCAGCTCTCTATGACGCGACAGATTAATGATCCATAGCGTGTGCGGCGTAGTCGTACACGCGTATCGAGCGCCCCAAGACAGCAGCGTAGGGAACGTCCTAACCCCTCCCGGAAGTTCCCATAGCGACGGCGTATTTAGATCCGCTTCGAACATCGCCAGCGCACCTTCCGGCGCGTTCGGCGGCAGGCTGATGTCACCTAGCCTAGGGTAGCTAGAGTCACTTTGTCTCGCCGATGCCCCTCCGGAATTCTCAACAGGTGTGGGGGCTGCAGGTGCTGCGGCTGCTGCGGATTTCTGTCGGTTTTTTATTTTCCCCTTCGCTCGCTGGGGCTTCTTCTCTCTTGTACCGGCGTCTGCATTAGGTAAGTCTCTCGGACTCGTGTCTGTGCTATGTGGTGTTTGCGGGTCTAAGGCGGAATCCGGGGAATGGGCGCCTCCTAAAGGTTGCAATGGCGGTGGCGGTGACGATTGTCGTATGTGTAACGAGCCGTCCGTTCGCGACTCTTTTCGCGAATCGCCGCCTGCCTTCGCGGCGAATGTCGCGGAAGCAGAGCCGGAGAAGGCGAGGCTGTTGATGCTTGGACGAGCTGCTTTCGACGAATCGCGTGCGTAGGTTGCTGCTTCGGAAAGAGAGACCTGACGGTCATTATCGGCCCGGAGCGCACCGGTCAGGAAGACGAATATTACAAACAGAAAAAACTGACTAAATCGACAAATAGGTCCAACGGATGGAGCGCCGGAATGCACAGAGGACCTGCCGTAGTGTTCACGCATTAAGAAACATCGCATACAAGATAAGAAAAGAACAACGGCACACGTCATGGATTGAAACGTTACAGAAAACGTAGTGGAATGAAAGCGGAAAAGGCGTCATCCAAGCATCCAGGCTTACCTGTAAAGCATCGCCATTGGAATGCGGTTGGATCCTACAACAAGAATAAGACGGGTGTATCCAGGTTTGGTGAGCACTAAGAGCAACACTACCTAGTCTAGGCCTCAACTTAGGCACAAGCTGTTTCTAACAACGTGCAATAGATTCAACAGTAACTAGATTCTAGGGCACAGGATATGGCGGCCAAAGACAAAGAACCTAGCGCGAGGGAGGAAAGGAGAGAGAGGGGAGGAGAGGAGGAGAGGAGGAGATGAGGGGAGGAAAGAGGTGGTGGGGTTTCGGGTAAATGGTCCAGAAGGAAAGGCGGAGTGCGGAAAAATGGAGGGGAGAGGGTGGGAGGAGGGAACGATAGGGCGTTTGGGCGTTCACATGTAAGGATCGGATTTCTCGGAGGCAGGCATCCTGCTTCTCACGTACAGTTACGACTGTTTATGTGATATACGCTTCTGTACTGGTGTATAGCATATATAAGCAAAAAAAAAAACAAGAGGCGACGAAATCGTCTTAGGGTTGCGAAGCATTTTACGTAACGATATGTACACAATTTTTTACATTTTACATAACGACATGTACCGTACACAATTTTCTACAAGTGAGAATACTTTTATAAAAACCTGTGGTAATTGACATTTATAGCAACGACTCGAAAAACAGCTTCAGCATGATTCGAACCTACGACCTTCGTACCCAACGCTTTTCCCCTACCGACTGCACTGGCGCTACTGCAAAGAGAAGCAACATAATGATATAAATTACGGAAAGTAACGACGAATCTGACACTTTGTTAGGGTTGGCTCTTCCTTTCTTTCTCCCTCCCTTCCGCTCGCTGGTTTAGCTCCCCGCTACTCACGCCCCACCTACCCGTTCCTACTAAGGTGAGAACAACTCTACCTTACCGTTTCAAGTAGAATTAAGTTACCTGATTTCTAGCGAGACTAGCATGCGTTAATCTCGTACATAGTTGTTTACTCTTACCCTGGCCGCGTTTTAAAAAGATAGTTTGATTAAGCCTATGTTCTAGGTTCTAGGTATTCGTTTTCTCTTTCTCTTTTCTTCTCGCCAGTGGAGCTTGTTCTTTTGCCTCACGCTACTTACGGTCCACCTACCACTCCAAGGTCAGAAAGTTTAAGATGTCATTTAGAGTTGTTAGCTCATGGTAAGATGTAAGCTCTTATTGTCGTCATTTACTTCCTATTCTTAGTTAGCCCTCCCTTTCCTACTTCCTCTCGTTCTGCTGACGGGCTACGGGACTTCCGCTAGGTAAGCTCCTAACTTGCAACTTAAACGCGTTCGATACCTGTTAGGTCGACTTAATTCTAACACAGGACGGCTTCGATCTAAACTAGGTCCGCTTAGATCTTCTTTTTACACATGTTTTTTTTCGAAATCGTAGAAATCGTAATTTATTGAACACTCTCTCTATCTCTCGTTCGTTCTCGCTCGTTCTCTCTCTCGTTCTCTCTCTCTCGTCCTCGTTCTCTCGTTCTCTCTCTCTCGTTCTCGTTTTCTCTCGTTCTCTCCCTCTCTCTCGTTCTCGCTCTCTGTATTCGTTATATTCTCTTCTTTCGTTTACTGTCTCGGTATTTTGTTCCTCTATTCCCGTTCCTTATTTTCGTTTTATGCCTCGTTAGATTCTTCTCCATGCTCTTTGTCAAGTCTAACCATTCAATGCTCACGGCGTTTTTCTTAGCCCTTGTATTGATTCATTTGTTTCTTCGTTATTCCTGTTTCTCTTCATTTCATCACACCTTATGCCTTTTTTCTGTTTTGTTTGTTGTACCGGCTATTCATTTCCGTTCCTCCTTTCCACTTCCTAAACCCGTTTGTCAGGGGCCTTTCCGGTCAGGAACGCGATTTCAATCCAGAAAATGCGTATTGGTCACTAGGATTTATCGTATTGTCCTTTTAACATTGATTTACTTGTTATGTAGTTCGCGTCGCGTGTATCTCGTGTTTTTTGGCTGGGTTTGCAGGAGCTCGTGTTTTTTATTGTGTGAATGTGTTTGTTCGTGTGAGTGCATTCATCTCATCTGTCATTGCAATATCAATGCATGTCTGTCAATTTTAAAAAGGGGGTTCATTTCTATCATTTCTCATTGGTTCATTGGCGCACTCAGTGACTCGTGTGTTTGCCACTTCGAACTGGATTTGATAGAGTGAACCTCTTTTTTAGAGTTAACAGATTGTATTTTTTCATGTGCTAGTTGATTATTCAAAGATTTTGCTATTGACCTCCCCCCCATGCTAGGCAGGGGATGGCGATAGCTTAGTTTTTGGGTTGTTAACTGTCACGCATTTTATCATGTGCATGTGCATTATTCATCACATAACTCATGCATTATATACATCATTCTATGCATTATGCATTGTATAGCATCATTTATGCATTACGCATGCACCTCTTCATCATTACACAACATCATCTAACAGTAACATATAATGCAAACAGTACAGCAAATCTCCACTAAACAATTGCAAAATATTCATATGGAATAATGCACTATGAACAGTACCGTATTCAAAACTGCTCAACATGCATACAGTATGAGAAGGGTAGTACTGTAGTTGACAAATTTTATTTTCATGATTTTTTTTTAAAATATTAACATGAAAATAAAATTTGGCAAAATCGATCGTAAAGGGTTGCTTCGCAACCCAAAAAAAAACAAGAGGCGACAAAGTCGACCTAGGGTTGCGAAGCTATTTGTCTAGTTGTATACGTTGTATTTGATGTTCAAAAACTGAAAAAATCTTTATTGAGATATGACTACAATTTTTTTTGTGAGTAAATCTCGACTACCAGAATCGATCCTGCAACCTTCCGATCCTAAGGCTAAACTCAAACCATTGTGTTAAACCGTCGATACTCGTTCGTATTTTTAGTCAATTATTCGTATGCAACGAATGAGGTTGTTAGGTTTTTCACGTTCCTTCTTTTCCTTTCCTCTGCTTCTTCTCCAACCACTCCTGTCTGTCACGCTATTCCAGTTTCTAGGTAAGAGAGTAGCAGCAGCTGGAAGAGTAGGAATAGCAAGTGTTGCTAGTTTGTTAAGACTATCGTTAGCCTACTTAAGTTGACTAGGAGAAAGTTAACTCGAGATCATGCCTTCGTCACGTGAAGACTACCTTTCCGTTTTTTTGTATCATGCCTTCGTTTTTGCTACCTTGTTACTCCTGTTTTGTTGCATATTCAAGGTTCCGTATGTCTTTCTCCTTTTCTTCTCTCTCCATCCGCTATTGTTATCTCTCTTCTCATTTTCTCTCCGTCCGTGTTTCTCTTTTGTTTTCCCTCTTGTAACTTCTTGCTGGAATCGTTCTGCTTGTGCTTGGCGCGTTGGTGACTTTTTGCTCGTGCCAGGCGCGCTAAGGGAGAGGCCGCCACTCTCACCTACAGCTTCTTAGGTAAGCTTTACTTCCTCTATTCTTAGATGCCGATGATGACACTCAGCGTCCTGCGCATTCTCCGTTTACATATTCCGTTTTTTTATTTAGATATTCCAGTTCGTATTTCTTCCTAATCTCTTCTCTTCTTCTTTCAGTCCGTCATCTCACATCCTATTTTCTCTAATTTTCGGTTTCACATCCTCTTGCATGGTCTTCATGTCCTCCTTCGTTCGTTCATTCCGTACGACCTAGCTCTTATGTGTTTTCCCTCTGTTCCCGTTCCTTACTTTCGTTTTATGCCTCTGTACCTCCTTTCTATTTGTCGGCTATAACCTTTCAATGCTCACGGCGTTTTTCTTAGCCCTTGTATTGTTTCATTCGTTTCTTGGTTATTCCTGCATCTCGTCATTTCATCACACCTCATTTCCTTTTCTGTTTTTTTTTTGTACCGACTATTTATTTCGTTCCTCCTTTGTACATTCTAAACCCGTTTCTCAGGAGTCTTGCTGCTCAGGAAGGGGATTGAATCTGGAAAATGTGTATTGGTCACTTTCAGGATTTATCTTGTCATATTGTCCATTTAATGTTGATTTGCATGTTATTTATTATCGCGTGTTTTGGCTGGGTTTGCTGCTGTTTGTGCTTTTGATTGTGTGAATGTGTTTGATTGTGAGAGTGCATTCATCTCATTGATCATTGCAATATTAATGCATGTCTGTCAATTTTAAAAAATGGGTTCATTTCTATCATTTCTCATTGGTTCATTGGCGCACTCAGTGACTCGTGTGTTTGCCACTTCGAACTGGATTTGATAGTGTGAACCTCTTTTTTAGAGTTAACAGATTGCATTTTTTCATGTGTTGGTTTATTATTCAAAGACTTTGCTATTGGCTTCCCCCCCATGCTAGGCAGGGGATGCGGTAGCCTAGTTTTTGGGTCGTTAACTATCACGCATTTGTATGACATCCCGTATGTTGCATTTCAGCATTTCGCTTCATGGAAAAGCATTTTCATCCATGTATCAGTATTATGCATCTATATATCTTGCCGCATTACATTCATTTAAGCATGTGTGGTATGTACTTCATTACTCATATTCGTAATATTTTTTACATGCAATTATCACAACAACGGCAAGCAGTAAAACATAAAACGCAAACAGTATAGCATATACGGCAAAAAACTACTATAATAAAAAAGAAATTAATATATGCACAATGGGAAGGGTGGTACTGTAGCTTACGAATTTTATTTTCATGTTAAATAAAAAACATGAAAAGAAAATTTGTCAAAATCGATTGTAAAGGGTTGCTTCGCAACCCAAAAAGGGAAGGGGGAGCTAATGGCGTGTGGTTGGGTGCGCTTGCCTTTCCCGCACGCCATGATAACGAGTGGTACTGTAATGAGACGTGGGTTTTTCTGGGCAGGCTGAAACGTTTGGGCAAGCTAGGTTTCTGGAAACTTTTGCTGCAGATAAGCGTGAATCAGTCTGCACCCTCGATGTGGTGTGAATGCCAGAATGGCCGCTTATCGGACGAACACGAAGGAGTCATGTTACAGAATGGTTGATTCAGATGAGATAGGATTCTAAAGGATGTTTAGGGGCTGCCTCACCATTGGATTATAAATGAATGGTTTACGTGAGCCGTCGATCCTCACTGTGTCTGCCACGTTCGTCATGATTGCGGTTGATGGGTTCAGGCCGAAACTCACGGGTCTGCTGCGTCGGGCCAAAGCCAATTTGCAGCAACACCACCATCAACTATGTGTGTTAGATGTATCATGTACAGTAATAATGTATAAAGTCTCTAAAAGTATTACAGCATTGCAAATGTACACTCACGCCACAATCTTGGAACTCCATACGATTTCCCGCCCTGCTTACCATTTCGCCATTGCTGCTGACGATGTTTTGATTTGAATTCGCCAGACAAGCCCGCCAAATCGCCGAGCTTCAAGGTCAGGGTGTTCGCGAGAACTGGCAGGCACTCAGCAAACTGCACCGAGGTTCCAGTTTCCACACGGGCGAACCGAAGCTCCAGTTTGCTCCAGACCAAAACTCCAAGCCCCCTCTCGCAACGCCAGAACAGGTCTCAGGTCCGGAAAGCTGGTTCGGAAATCGTATCGCCATAGCCTGGTTTTCGAATCCAGATTCAAACCTCCTAGGAGAACCTCGAGATTTCCAGCCTATCTGACGGTTTTCCATTTCTTCAGGGACGTCGAGTCGAGTTCCTCAGCATAGACCAGTCTTCGCCCTGACCTCAAACTCTAGCTCTAGCTTCAGCTTCAGTTCAAGAGATCCGCAATGCGAAATCTTGGTAATGCCTGCTGCACACGACCCTAGAAAGTATCCTCTCTCTTTTATATGTTTTCTCGTCAGCAGTTACACTTCGCTGTCTTCGTTTTGCAGTTTCATTCCTACCTTCTTCCAGTTTCGCTAACTTGAGAAATGGCGCGTCCCGGAGATAGCATAGAGAAATGGCTAGCAGCCGCGCAAGAAAAGCAATCTCCAAGTCAGAATGGGCCAGCAGAGCGGTCAACGGCAGCCACGGCAAGCTCGCTGCGTAGTAACTTATCGTCTACTTTCAACCGAACCTCGTCCAATCCCGACCCTGCATCCGCTGGCGGAGCAAACTCTGGGAAGGATTTGAAAAGTTCGAGCTCATTGACCCAGCAGCTGGAATCACGTTCGGTATTGCCACCCGCCCCATCTTCCGAACCAAGAACCCGAACCTACGGAAGCAGGCTCGGGGGGGACTTTTCGCCTGCAGACAACTCCTCCTATAGTGCGAGCATCAGGGAAAATATCACCTTCGCTAGAGGGACAGACTCTGCTCGCGGTGACGTGGCGCCTGCAGACCGCTTTACTCAGCCAACCCGTGCCGACGTGGCACCTCCGTCCAGTACGGGTGGATCATACGTGGCATCCAGCAACCAGGGCTATGGCAATGGCGGCGCGGCTCCTGGCGGAAAAGCCAATCAGTCAATCTCCAACGGCAGCGTCGGTTTAGGAGGCGGTGGTGGCAGCGGCGGCGGCGGCGGCGGTGGTGGCAATGGGATTGGCAGAAGTCCGTCCGGTACTTATTTCTCCGCTACTGCTCTTTCGAATCGCTCTCAGGGCAACGGCAGTCCTCGCAACTCTAGCGAGAACGAGAAGCTGTACGAGGCTTATAACGAGTTGCACCGCTTAGCGCAGCACTTTCAGAAGCCGTTCGATGCGCCAGCTGTGCTGATCGTGGGGCATCAGACGGACGGAAAGAGCGCGCTGGTCGAAGCGCTGATGGGGTTCCAGTTTAACCACGTGGGCGGGGGGACGAAGACGCGCCGTCCGATCACGCTGCAGATGAAGTACAATCCAGCGTGCGTGGAGCCGCGGTGCTACTTAGTTCTGGATAAGGATCATACTAGCGAACAGGAGAAGACTCTGCAGCAACTACAGGTACTGCTACGAATATGTTTTTATATATATATGAAGCCTTTTCTCTTCGTCGATTTTTTCATCAACCATTGCTAGGTTGTATGTCTTTCCAGCTTTTGATTCATACCTTGACAGCAAAGACGTGCTGACTCGAGTTGTTTCATGTGCGACTATGACTGTAACGGTGCAGGCCTATATCGAGTCCGAGAACCAGCGGCTGGAGAAAGACATGGGGCGATTCTCGGACCGAGAGGTGGTGGTGCGCGTGGAGTACAAGTACTGCCCCAACCTCACCATCATTGATACGCCTGGACTCATCTCCGCCGCTCCATCTGTCACACACACGGCGCTGCAGGTGGGTGCGATGGTGGGTGGGTGTGGGCAACTAGGGGGGTAGGTAGAGAGGTGGTGGTGCGTGTGGAGTACAAGTACTGCCCCAACCTCACCATCATTGATACGCCTGGACTCATCTCCGCCGCTCCATCCGTCACACACGCGGCGCTGCAGGTGGGTGCGATGGTGGGTGGGTGTGGGCAACTAGGGGGGTAGGTAGAGAGGTGGTGATGCGCGTGGAGTACAAGTACTGCCCCAACCTCACCATCATTGATACGCCTGGACTCATCTCCGCCGCGCCCTCGGTCACACACACGGCCTTACAGGTGCGTCAATATATGTATGTATGCTCGCATATAATGCGAATGTTATGATACTTTGTCTCAAGGACAGGAGCGACTGGAGCAACGCCACCACGCAGGGGGTCGTGATGAAGGTCGACCCGGACCTCTCCCGAACCACCCCACTTTTTCCCAACCTGCTTTCCTTTCCTTTCCCTGTCGAGGTTTCCGCTCCTATCCCCCCCATCCTTCACCCCTGCAGGAGCAAGCGCGGATCGTTGAGGCACTAGTGCTGGCGAAGATGAAGCAGCAGGAGTTTGTGATACTCTGTCTCGAAGACAGCAGCGACTGGAGCAACGCCACCACGAGGAGGGTCGTGATGAAGGTCGACCCGGACCTCTCCCGGACCTCTCCCAACCTGTTTTCCTTTCTCGTGGGGGACCCCTCTCCCATTCCCTCCATTCTTCACCGTTTCAGGAGCAAGCCAGAATTGTTGAGGCACTAGTACTGGCGAAGATGAAGCAGCAGGAGTTTGTGATACTGTGTCTCGAAGACAGCAGCGACTGGAGCAACGCGACGACTCGCCGCATTGTCATGAAGGTCGACCCGGACCTCTCCCGGACCATCCTCGTGTCCACCAAGCTCGACACTCGCATCCCGCAGTTCTCCCGGGCAGCCGACGTGGAAATGTTTCTCAACCCGCCGCTACCGGATATTTCGGCGTCGCGGCTCGCCACGCGGCCGTTTTTCACGTCGGTGCCGTCGGGACGAGTGGGCTCCGGATCGGATGCTGTGTTTATGACTGACGACGATTTCAGAGATGTGAGTCAAGGAATGGGGGCGTGAGAGGAGGAGTAGGGGAGCTTAGGGAAAGGTTATGGGTAGTGTGGAGGAAGTGGGGACGAGTCGGGTCGGATGCGGTTTTTAGGCAGATGACGATTTCAGTGATGTGAGTTGGGATAGGTGGGTGGTTGAGGGGAGGAGGAAGGGAGACGAGCAGGGAAATGAGTGGAGTCGGGGTCTGACGCGATGTTCATGACTGACGACGATTTCAGATATGTGAGTCGGGGAGAGGGGAGGGTTCGGATGCGAGGGGGGAGGAGGGGAAGAAAGGCAGAGGGAGCAGGTGAAGGCCAGTGGGGTCCGGGGCGAATGTGGTTTTCAAGACAGATCATGATTTCAGAGATGTGAGTGGGGCTAGGTGGGTGGTTGGGAGGAGGAGGAAGGGAGAGGAGAAGATAAATGGATGTGGTCAGGGGCGGATGTGCATACAGAGATGTGAGTTGAGGGAAGGGGCCAAGAAGGGGAGGGATGAGGGGATGTGGGTTAGAAGCAGTTTCTCAACCCGGCACTCTCGAATGTCTCCAATGTTTCCAATGTTTCCACGTCACAGCTGGCTCTCTCCAATGTTTCCACGTCACAGCTGGCTCTTCCACGTCGTTGACTCTTTGGAAGTGGCTGGTTGACTTGGTTGACTTGCGCTGACCTGCAGGCAGTTGCTCGGAGAGAAATGAGCGACCTTGCAGCGCTAGAGGACAAAATGGGCCGGCCTCTTTCGGACGACGAACGAGCACGGGTGGGGGTTAGCCAGCTTCGGCTGTTTTTGGAGCAGATGCTGCAGCAACGGTAATCAATCCTTCCTTTACTTCTCCCATTCACTTCTCTCCACCCCTTCCTCATGTAACCTCTTCCTCCTCGTCCCCACTTCCTCTCTTCTTGGAGCAGATGCTGCAGCAACGGTAAGCAACAACTTCAGCCTTACCATATTTTCCCCCACTCCCACTCTACGCTTGCTTTCCCCTCACTCTCTTCTAGAAGCAATAGCTGCAGCGATAGTACGCATTCGATTTCTTGTTCCCACTCCATCCCTTCCCTGCTTTCCCCCCTCTCCCCCCTTTCTTTTCACCATTCTCCGTATCCCGCCCTCCTGCTCCCCCAGCACCCTGCGCGTCCTCTGCACTGCTTTTGAGGCGCCTCAAAAGTCGTCTCATTACCCGCAATTTTGAGGCGCCTCAAAAGTTCACCATTCTCCGTATCCCGCCCTCCTGCTCCCCCAACACCCTGCTCGTCCTCCGCACTGCATTTCAGCCTGTAGATGCAATTCGACGTCATTCCTCCCCTGCATCTGCCCTTGCCCCCACCTCCCCATCCAGGTACCTCGAGAGTGTACCCTATATAGTGCCGCTGCTCGATAAGGAATACAAGTCTGTCTCCACCAAGCTCTCTGCCACCTCTGCGGAGCTACAGTAAGCAACAATACCTCTTCAACGTCCTGAACCTCTCCTTTGCTGTCCACTCCACGTGTTGTGAGGCGCTTTCTGCTCTTCTCTTCTTTCTCCGTTTTCTCATGGCGCCTACAAAGACCCCTAAGCATCATCCCCTGTTTCGAGGTGAATTTTGAGTCGACTCAAAAGTCATATCTTTGGGGCCTACAAAGACCCCTAAGCATCATCCCCTGTTTCTTCCTCCTCTCTCCGTTTGGGCATCAGGAACCTGAGCAACGGCGAGTTGACGGCTAAGGCGCCTCAAAAATAGGCGCCTACCAAACCCCAATTATCCCCTGTCTCACCCTCCTCTCGCCGTTTGAGCATTCCTCAGGAACCTGAGCGACGGCAAGTTGACGGCTAAGGCGCCTCAAAAATAGGCGCCTACCAAACCCCAATTATCCCCTGTCTCACCCTCCTCTCGCCGTTTGAGCATTCCTCAGGAACCTGAGCGACGGCGAGTTGAGAGAGAAGAGCCGAAACTTCCGCGACAACTTTGTCCGGAAGGTACGTGGGGGGGTATGAGGCCTTCGGGGTCCGTCTGAGGGGTGCGTGCATGGCCTCTGACCAGGTCGTTTTTTGAGACGTCTCAAAAATCGTTCGGAAGGTACGTGGGGGGCTATGAGGCCTTATGGGTCTGTCTGAGGGGTGCGTGCATGGCCTCTGACCAGTTCGTATGTGCTGATTGGTGCTAAATCTCGTTTCTAAAAGAAAAAATGAAAAGAGAAACTCTTTTGTTACAGCATTCTGCACCTCTGTAACACCTCGAACACCTGTAAACCCCACCCCACTCCACCCTCCTTCGCCTCTCGCCCTTTCAGCTCACGGTTCTGCTCCGTGGCTCCATTGCTGCTCCGCTGGACAAGTTTGTAACCCCTGTAACACATGCGAACCCCACCCCACCCTACCTCACCCCACTTACTTACCCTCTCGCCCTTTCAGCTCACAGTTCTGCTCCGTGGCTCCATTGCTGCTCCGCCGGACAAATTCGGTGGGTTGAATCACGTGGTCAGAGGACATGCCGAATGAGGCCTCCGCCCCTCTCAGATTCTGATCTTAGTCACCCTTCTTCCTTCCTGAACCATGCCTCTTCAACCCTCCCAACCTCCTCTCCCCTCCTCCGCTTGCCCACTTCTAGTCCGCTGACTTTTGAGTCGACTCAAAGTCACTCCGCTTACCCACTTCTAGTCCGCTGCTGCCCACCAGGCGAGACACACTGCAATTAGAAGTAGCAGCTTCCGCACATGTCTCCCACCCTCACCGCTCGTTTGCCCCTCTGCCCTTCACTCTCTGTGCTTTTCTTGGTACTCCCAACCCGATCGCCCTCTGCTGCCCACCAGGCGAGACTCTGCAGGAAGAGAGGGCGCGTGGAGGGATCTTTGTGGGGTCAGACGGCCAGCAGTTTCCACAGAGGCACATGCCGGTGAGCCTCCCTATTGTCACATAGCCTCCCTCTCGTTGTTGTCACGAATTGCTTTGGCAAAAAAATCTTTCCAAAGGCACATGCTGGTGAGCCTTGGTTGCTGCTGTCACAGAGACTTGCGCATTCTGTGAGGAGGAGAATGTCCCTTTCACTTGTCCCCTAATGACGTGATAAAAGCTGAGTTCGGAGACGCCTCAAAACTCAACTTTTATCAAGGAGAACGTTCCTTTCCCTCATTCTCTAATGAATTTCCTCTTCAGAAGAGGATGGCTCAAGGCAGGTACAATGCTCCATGTTGTAACCACCCCTTCCTTTCCCTCTCTGCACCCGCCTCTCCTCCTTCCACCAGAACGCAAGCATGCGTCTCTTTGGAGGGGCGCAGTACCACTGCGCAATGGCACGGTTCGAGGCTTTGTTTCATTGCCGCAGTTTTGAGTCGACTCAAAAGAGTCGAGTTTTGAGTCGACTCAAACTCGACTCGTTACAAATGGGGCACAGTACCACTGCGCAATGGCAGGGTTCGAGGCTTTGTTTCATTGCCACAGTACCACTGGCTGGGCAATGTCCCTTGCCTCTCTCTCTTGTCGCCTCAGTACTATCTGTATTTCCCCCATCCCCCCCCCACCCCACCCCTATCAGAACGCCAGCATGCGCTTGTTTGGAGGGGCGCAGTACCACCGGGCGATGGCCGAGTACCGGTTTGTGGTGGGTGCAGTGCGGTGCCCTGCGATATCGAGGGAGGAGATCGTGAATGCGTGCGGTGTGGAGGATGTGCATGACGGCACCAACTACTTCAGGTACGTTACTGCATATATTTACATCGCTGCCATCGCTGGGACTTTGTCTGCCTCGTGACAGGATAATGAAGCGAATCGACATTTGAGAATTCTCAAAAATCACTCCTCGTTCCTCCCTGCTGTCACCTCGTGACTTTTCTCTACTCCTCCCTGCTCTTTCTCATTCCTTTCTCGTACCCTGCAGGACGGCGTGTGTGATTGCTGTTGCCAAGGCATGGGACGTGTTCGAGCCGTTCCTTCGACAGGTATGGCTGTGGGGACTCTTCAGTCTTGGCGTGGGACGTGTTCAATAATCAATTGAGTTAGCCATCTGGGTTACGTTTTAGGCGCCTCAAAATTTGACACTTAAGTCTTGGCGTGGGACGTGTTCAATAATCAATTGAGTTAGCCATCTGGGTTACTTGATGAGTCATGTAGGTTACAAGCATGACTCATCGAGTAACCCAGATGACTAACTCAACTGTGCGGATTTGGGTTACATGATTTGTCATGTAAATCACAAGGAACAAATCTGCCAAGAGCAATTTCTTTGGCTACCCACCTCTCTCTCGCCTGCTCCAACATACTCCCTTCACCTCTTCTTCTCCTCCCTTACTTTCCTCCGCTTTCTCCTCCCTTCCCTCCTCTCTCAGCTCGGGTTCCGTCCATCCCACATTGTGGGGCGACTGCTCCCTATTGTGCTGTAATTTGAGACCACTCAAAACTCGTCCCTCCTCCCTTCCCTCCTCCCTTCCCTCCTCCCTTTCGTCATCCCTTCCCTCCTCTCTCAGCTCGGGTTCCGTCTATCCCACATTGTGGGGCGACTGCTCCCCATCGTGCTGTTCCTACTCAAGGTGAGCCCCAGTGCTTGTCGAAATAAGATATTCCTAGGCACCTGCTCCTCATTCCTTCCCTCACACAGGAAGCGTGCCGAAAGATTGCTCCTGGTCTTTTGGCACACCAGGAGTTCCTAGTCACACTGACAAGCACCTGCTCCTCATTCTCTCTCTCTGACTCTACCCCACGTCCTCCCGCTCGCCTTCTTTCTGTCCCCACATGATTGAGGGACAACGAGCTCATGCTGTTATATGGAACGTTCATAGAACGAAAGCAGGAGTGATACCACGAGTTGACTCACACACACAAATCACCTCCGTGTGCCTGTCCCCTTCCCATCTCCCCTTGACATCTCCCCTTCCCATCTCCCCTTCCCATCCCCCCTACTCAGAGGGACAACGAGCCCATGCTGGTGCATGAAACGTTCATAGAGCGAGTGCAGGAGTCGTACCACAAGTTCGTCGATGCAACAGAGCGCTCCTGCATTGACAAGTGAGTGAGAGGGAGAAGGTGCCACAGTCTAGGGGAGGCTGGGCAGGTTGGGAGACTGGCAGTGAGCAGTAGGGGAGGGTGCAGGAGTCGTACCACAAGTTGGTCGATGCAACCGAGCGCTCCTGCATTGACAAGTGAGTGCTTGCTGAGTGCTCCTCCACTCGACAATCACGATTCCCGTCATATCACAAGTTTGTGGTCTGATTCCACAATCACTACTCCCGTCTTCTTTCAAGAACCACTGCCTTTTAACAGTACACATGTTTTCAGTCAGCCTCCGCAGCACACATGTTTTTGAAAGAAGACGGGAGTAGTGAGTGGCCACTCCGCAGCACACATGTTTCAGCCTCCTCTGGTTGCCAATCCCTCTCTTTCCCCCTCTGCCTCTCCACCCACCCTCTGCTGTGTGCCCTCAGGTGCATGGAGGATCTCACCAGCACCACTCGCTTCGTCACATGGTCTCTGCATAACAGGGTAGGCCATCTCCTTCCATTCCCTCTCACAACCCTCCTCTCTCCTAGTTTCGCACGGCAAATGTAATGAATATTTCTTCTGCCACGCACAGCAGTGTCCCTCTCGTCCTCACTGCCCCTTTCCATTCTTCCGGCCCTTGCAGTCTCGCTCTGCCCTGCGTTCCTTCTTTGACTGGGCCATGCCCAACCACGACTCCTCCCTCCTTCCTGCTCCCTCCATACGCTCACTCCTTGCTCATACTTCCTCACATGTTCCCCTTCTTCCAAACCCTCCCCCCCTCCCCTTTGCAGTCTCGCTCCGCCCTGCGTTCCTTCTTCGACTCGGCCATGCCCAACCACGACTCTCCCCTCGTCTCTGCTCCCTCCTTATGCTCATCCTTCCTTCACTTGTTTTTTCTTCCACCCCGCTTCCTCCCATACAGTCTCGATCTGCACTGCGATCCTTCTTTGATTCAGCCATGCCCAACCACGACTCCTCCCTCCTCGCTGCTGTCGGCGCCTTCGAAGCATCCACGCCCATGCCGGTCCCAGCAGCCACAAGCAGACAGAACTCGCCGCCCTTTGGCCCGACCGACTACCAGTCCAGTCCAAGCGACGACGGCCGGGGCGACAGAGGGGCAGTGGGGGGAACCAACCGAGCCAGCGGCAATGGTACCACTGCTGGTGGTACCGCTAGTGGCGGTGCTGGTGGTGCTGGTTCTACTGCTGGTGGTGCCGCTGGTACAGCAGCAGGAGGCAGCGGCACAGGAGGAGGGAGGCTGGCGGATCTCCTCGAATCCACCCTCTGGACCCGCCGGCTCGCGCCGTCCTCAGAAGACATAGTGAACGCGCTGGTGATGCAGATTTTCGAGGGCATCCGGGACCACTTTGTGATGTCTGCAGAGCTCAAGTTCAATTGTTTCTTTCTGATGCCGTTAATGGACCGGTTTCCTGCACGGCTGAGGGAGGACCTGGAGGCGGTGGCAGGGGGTGGGCTGGATGCGGTGTTTGATATCTCGAGAGTGCGCGGGCAGCTGGAGAGGAGCCGCGGGGAGCTGGATGAAGAGCTGAGGCGGGTGAGTTGGAAGTTGAAGTGGGGGTTATGAAATCGGTTATCGGTGGTCATGGATGGGGAAGGAGGGACTAGCTGGCATGAGAGAGGGTACGGATGTCACGTGCTTGTCCTGGTCTCAGCATCATCACGCGGAGCGTTCGTTTCTGTTTCTAGACTCAATCTCTTGGTCCCTTCGTCCGTTGTTTTCCATGAATGCCCTTTCTTCCAGGTGCATGCACTTCAGGCCAAGTTCGCCAGTATTCACCACAGCCTGAGCGTGATGCCATCCCATGCCATGTCAGCACCAACGGGGTCTCTTTTCAGCTCACAGACTGGAGCGTCGCCGTTGCCCTCCTTCGGGTCGTCAGACGCAGCTCTCCTGCCCTCACGGCATTTTGCCGACTCGCTCTCATCGATGTTGGACGCGCAGAGCCTGGGGACTCCAGGCGCAAGAAAAGGTTTAGATAGCGGCCGTGAATATATTATCAGAAAAGCATGAAGCCAGTGTCTGCGTGTGTACCTTCTCTCGTGCTAGATCCATGTGTAGAGCCATCATTCTGCCTTGGTGTGCTATGGTCTCATACTGGTGCTGGTTTCCTTGTGAGTTGTGTTATGAGTGTTTTTGAGTGAATGTAATTCGTTAAAGCTTGTCACGAAGGACTCTCTAGCGAGCTTTTTTCTTCTAGGCTCGAATTTCAGTAACCTCGTTCTGCACGACGACGCAGGCAGGGATATGTCTCCATCCCAGCATCTCTGTATGAACCATAGAGATATGCTCGGTTTGTTGCGGTTCATAGAGGTCAAGTTTTGAAATCGTGTTGAATCGTCGAGAACCCGATTGAACTGCGTGAGCGGACACCAAGCAAGCACACAACTCAGCTTAGGAGGAATTTGAATTCGACAGGCAGCAGCGTCTGCTGTTTTGTCTCCATGGTTGCATCGCCTCGCCTATTTCGTTCTTGGTAATTGCAGTCTCAGGACTTTTCCTCAGCCGACTTAGGTGTCACATCGCAACGTGAGACGGTCCTTTTTTAGGAGATTTTTCGGATAACTCACGACAGGATGGGAGCCGAGCAGTCGACGGAAGGAACTGACCGGCTAAAAAGGTCCGTCAAGGTCCGTCGTGGCTGCGGGAACCTTCCAATTTTGCGATATTCCCGGCTGCATATGCAAGAGGACGTAATCAACTGTATTCAAATTCTGCTTGTATTCAGGTCTATAAACAAGAGCATCAGGGATGTTATTAGCCGTGAAGACCTACATGAATTGGTTTTATTTTACCCCTAGTCGGTCACTTATAATTGAATGTGTTGGGATTTCCCTGTTCTTGTTGCTCCTGGCTGCTGTACTCGCTTTGGGGACTGGGTCGAGCTGCAGACATCGTTATTCCTGCTGCATCATTCATTGAATTTGCCATGTGCTTACTTGTCGCTCCTGCCTGCACCCCCTGCTGCCATGCAGGTTCTACTCGCCTTGAGAGTGGGACGAGCTGCAGTAAAATCTAGCCCTGACCCATGCCTTGGGATTGCCGTGTGCTTGCCTGTCCATCCTGTCTGCACCCCCTGCTGCCAGGCAGGCTGTACTCTCCTCGGGAGTGGGACGAGCTGCAGCGCTTGTTTGTGTCACTCGCGGCACAGTCACGCAGCAACGGGCAACATGTCATAGCGAGTGTGTTCCAGGTATGGCTTCATGGGTACCCGACTGCACTGCTCTGCACCGCTCTCCACCAATCTCCTCGGCTTTGGTCAGCTGTCAGAAGAATCAATTTCCATCTGGGTTCACTTATGTGCCATGTGTGTCCCATCTGTATCCCTCCACATCCTTTCTGCCCTACAGGCTACAGGCATACTGCAGAATCCACGGCAGTCTAGGAGCTCGCCTCTTTCAGACTGCAACCAAAGCGCGACTCCACCTGTCTCACTGTCCCATTTTGCTTCTGTCGCATCTGTCCTCCAGGCATACTACGGCATTCATGGCAGTCTTGGAGGTCGCCTCTTTGAGATTGCCACGCAGGGGAACAAGGATGGTCTCATGCGCTTCCAGGAGTTTGCAGCTATCAAGGTTTGCTCTCGCCTTTCACCTTATGTACTGTTCGGTTATTTTGTTGCATTTTGGCATAATGCGAAGGTTTAAGGTCCTACAGTGATTGGTCTGATGAGATTGGGATTTACCAAATGACATTCAGTTTTACTTCTAGCATTTGCTTTCACCTAATATTTCTAAGGGGCCATCTCTCGCCTCTGGTTCACTTCTTTCACAATGTCTTTGTTCTGGACAGGACAGGGACGGCCAAGGTGGCATTGCAATTTATTACCCTCTGTACTCTCAAATTCACATCCAGTTATTGCTTCCCTTCCATCAGATTGTATTTGACAAGGGTTGTTGAGATGACACTGACAACTATGGCCATCTCTTCCCTCCAAATCTTATTCGAATCTTGTCCCCCATCCATCAGGCTGTGTATGACAAGGGTTCACCTGATGAAATTGACCGCATGTGCTTTCAAGTCATGGACGTTCTCAAGTCTGGGAAAGTCGACAGGTACACTGACTCCAAATTTTTCGAGTCTGGCTTATGATCAAGTCATTAACGTTCTATGAGTAAGAGAAATTAGCGATGTAAACTTTCTCAATGCAGAGTTGAGAAAGTCTCTGTTAGCTAGCCAGTGCATCCAGTCTCTGTCTGACTTTTGAGTCGACTCAAAAGTCATGCTGTTAGCTAGCCAGTGCATCCAGTCTCTGTCTGACTTTTGAGTCGACTCAAAAGTCATGCTGTTAGCTAGCCAGTGCATCCAGTCTCTGTCTGACTTTTGAGTCGACTCAAAAGTCATGCTGTTAGCTAGCCAGTGCATCCAGTCTCTGTCTGACTTTTGAGTCGACTCAAAAGTCATGCTGTTAGCTAGCCAGTGCATCCAGTCTCTGTCTGACTTTTGAGTCGACTCAAAAGTCATGCTGTTAGCTAGCCAGTGCATCCAGTCTCTGTCTGACTTTTGAGTCGACTCAAAAGTCATGCTGTTAGCTAGCCAGTGCATCCAGTCTCTGTCTGACTTTTGAGTCGACTCAAAAGTCATGCTGTTAGCTAGCCAGTGCATCCAGTCTCTGTCTGACTTTTGAGTCTACTCAAAAGTCATGCTGTTAGCTAGCCAGTGCATCCAGTCTCTGTCTGACTTTTGAGTCGACTCAAAAGTCATGCTGTTAGCTAGCCAGTGCATCCAGTCTCTGTCTGACTTTTGAGTCGACTCAAAAGTCATGCTGTTAGCTAGCCAGTGCATCCAGTCTCTGTCTGACTTTTGAGTCGACTCAAAAGTCATGCTGTTAGCTAGCCAGTGCATCCAGTCTCTGTCTGACTTTTGAGTCGACTCAAAAGTCATGCTGTTAGCTAGCCAGTGCATCCAGTCTCTGTCTGACTTTTGAGTCGACTCAAAAGTCATGCTGTTAGCTAGCCAGTGCATCCAGTCTCTGTCTGACTTTTGAGTCGACTCAAAAGTCATGCTGTTAGCTAGCCAGTGCATCCAGTCTCTGTCTGACTTTTGAGTCTACTCAAAAGTCATGCTGTTAGCTAGCCAGTGCATCCAGTCTCTGTCTGACTTTTGAGTCGACTCAAAAGTCATGCTGTTAGCTAGCCAGTGCATCCAGTCTCTGTCTGACTTTTGAGTCGACTCAAAAGTCATGCTGTTAGCTAGCCAGTGCATCCAGTCTCTGTCTGACTTTTGAGTCGACTCAAAAGTCATGCTGTTAGCTAGCCAGTGCATCCAGTCTCTGTCTGACTTTTGAGTCGACTCAAAAGTCATGCTGTTAGCTAGCCAGTGCATCCAGTCTCTGTCTTTGTTCCACCTGCATCCTTCACACCGCAGGCGAGAGGTTGAAGAGGTGATTCGCAGTGCTCTCACCACTGTCTTCGGCCCCCAGCACTCCCTTACACTTGCCATCATCCAAGCCTTCGTCTCCTCTGCCTTCCCATCTATTCCTACATCTAGTACGTGGACTTCTTTCAGTCACTCCTCCCTCGCTTCCACCGCTCTCCATCCCTCTTCTGCTCGGTCTTCCACAGCTGCTGCACCGCTTGCTGCATCAGCAACGGCAACAGCAGCACCATCGGAGGGAGCAGGGGGAAAGCAGCAGCCAGAGGGGGGGAGGCCAGAGCAAGAAGGGGAGGGCGTAGGTAGGGATGGTAGTGCGGGTGCCAGTGTTGCTGCTGCTGATACCAGAGTTTATGATGATGGTGCCAGTGTTGCTGCTGATGATGGAAGGGAGTTGTCATATCAGGATGCAATTCGATGGTGGACTGCAGTCCCTGCTGTCAAGAAGTTTCTCCGGAGCCTCCTCACCCCTCCAGATCTTCGTGAGTCTTTGCGGATTGATTTTATTTTGTTTGCTGTTAACTCGGTTGCATAGGAGAAAACTTTCTGGGCGCATCAAAAGTATTCAGACCAACGTGAATAATGCTCTGTGGAGATATTTTTTTGTTCATTTGCTGTTAACCCGATAGCATAGGAGAACATTGTCACGGAACTCTTAAGTGGAGGTGTATTTTGAAAATTTCCAGAATGTTTTTTACCAAAAAATAATTATTCTCTAACGGAGTTATCATTCTGTAACCGAGTGATCATTTGTTGTAGATTTTTTAGTGAGTGTCCCACTGGTGCTTTTAGCAAATGCTTCACTTTCTTGCCGCTTCTCCCCTCTGTTTGTCTTTTCCAGGTCCGCCGCTACCAACTCTCATTGCGCCACCTGTCACCGCCAGTGGCTGCCACATCAGCGAAGAAGCTGGGGAGCAGCAGCATGAGAGCAGGGAGGACACGTGGCTGCTGCAGAAGGAGCTGACGTGGCACATAGCTGGTGCACTACAGGAGAAAGAGTGTCGGGAGTGGTGTTTGTTGTACAGCAGCAAACTGCATGGCCTGAGCTTCAACTCTTTTCTGGGGAAGGTAGGACTGATCACAATAATATGATAGCCTGCATTGCCGTTCTTGTGTTAAAATGAAGGAAGAAGAAAGAAGTGGGTGGTGGCAGCATCAAATGCTACCATCTCTCATATAGTGTTACAGCATGAGCATCCAACCGGTTTCAGACGTTTCAGAATGCAGCTCTCCTTGTCCACTCACCCTTCCCTATCCTCCTCAGGTGTCATCTGTACCGCATCCAACCGTTCTTGTGGTCCGAGACTCATCTGGGGCCATCTTTGGGGCCTTCGCTTCCAAGCCGTGGGAGCGAGGCAGTGCTTTCTACGGTGACATGCGCTCCATCCTCTTCTCCTTCCTCCCCACTGCTGCTGTTTTCAAGGCAGCTGGCACCAGCACTAACATTCAGTGGGTACGTGACATTGTGTCAAAAGTTGAGTTGCTGTGGATGGAGGTGTGGTAGTGAATGCCATGTTTCTTCCTCTATTCTCCACTTTTTCTCCTTGTTGCCGATGACTTTCTTACAGTCCAACTTTTGGACTGACTCAAATCGTTGGACTGATGTTCTACCTGTCCTTTCCCGCCCCTTGAATCGCAGTGTGCGTCAGGCTTCGCAATCGAATCCATTCCCAATGGCATCGGTTTGGGCGGCCAACCGGGTCATTTCGGCCTTTTCCTCACAACCCAGCCTCTCCTTTCCTGCCCTCGTTCATTTCCATTGCAGTGTGCGTCAGGCTTTGCCTCCGAGTCCATTCCCAATGGCATCGGTCTGGGCGGCCAACCGGGTCATTTCGCCCTTTTCCTCTCGTCGGATTTCGACTCAGGTCACTCTCGCCCCAGCACCACATTCAACTCCTCTTCACTCTCTTCAACACCAAACTTCAACATAGATGCTGTGGAGTGTTGGGCTGTTATCAGTGCTTCTCTTTCCGATAGGATTTCTGCTGGCGATGGGGGGATAGGAGCTGTTGGATCGTCACGGTCTGGAGTGGGGAGTGGGAGATCAGACGATGCTGGTGGTAGTGGGAGAGGGACGGTGCTGGATAGGTTTGGGAAGGAGCGTGCGATGCTGGGCATGATTGGAATTGCAACGGCTAGTGAGAACATAGGCAGGGACAAACCGGATAGAGAGGGGTGAATGCATATGAAGTCGGCAGTGGCAGGTGTGGGCAAAGGAGAGAGGGTTTGGGGGTGGAGGATGTGTGGGGGGGGAGGGGAGAGGGGTGAGAGGAAGTTGTTCTGCCAGAGGCGATTTGGGCCTGGTAATGTGCCGTATTTGCAGCTATGTGGAACCAACGAGTTGAGTTTCCTTTTGTCAAGTAGCGAGTGGGATAGTAGAATACTGTTGGTAACTCATACACCATTGGGGAGGATTTTGCCATGTTGGGCGCTATGAGGTCTTCTGCTGCTGAGAACATTGGGACGCCTTAGTCAGGTTTTTCTTTGTTGGGATGTTCCCACACGTGGTACCAGGAATACTACACCCTATTCGCGATAATTTCACACCCCTTAAACGCACACCCTGGGGGTACATACCGGGGATACAAACTTTCTTGCAGGATAGTTCGCTGCGAAATGGAATAGCTGGTGAGCGTTCCGAAACCCAGTCGCGAATAGACGTAAGCATTAACTTCATTCGTGCCTACCCAACCCCGCCCTCACTCGGAACACATGGTGTAGTTTCAAGAGAAACTGCATCTAGCTGTCGACTGATTGTCCCTGAGTTTCAGGGTGCCCGTCGTATCGAGCCTGAATTGGTATAGGGCACCTTCAAAAAAGCAGGCAGGGGGTGTGCAATTATCGCGAATAGGGTGTATTAGAGTACCAGGAACACTGGTGAAGTTGCAGGTAAAATCTGATGAGTAAAAGGGGAAAATATGTCACAAGTAACCATCATGGGACCAGGGCTAATTTTTGGTTTCCAGCAACCCTTGTGATCAGTGTTGCACAAGTCCAAAAACCTGATTATCAGTGTGACACCTTGTTCAAACCCTGATCCACCAGGGTTTTCCTAGTTTTTTAAAATTATACCCTGTAGGATCAGTGTACCAGTTTTGCAAACCCTGGTGTATTGATATTATCGTTGGCAGGCAATAACGAAAATGTATTTCTGGCCAATGGAGGCCCCCCTCGTGCCAGCTCAGAGATGTTGCCTTTGCCAAATTTCAGTTTCGACAGTTGGCATGCGAGAACCTCGATACGGGAAAGGGGGGATGGGTAGAGAGGGGGCGGGGGGTGGGGCGGCTCGGGGAGGGTATGTACTCGATTCAGGGTAAAACTCGTTACGAAGATCGGTAACCCTGGGCCGTCAGCGTACCTCAAACGTAAACCCTAGCCTATCAGGAAAATACAAGCTCCCGAAAAAATAACCCTAAGGCATCAGTGTGACAGCCAAAAACCACCCTGATTATTGTTGGGCTGAGATAGCCCCTTAGGATCTTTGCAAGGGATAACTCTAGGTGAAGTAGTTGTAATAGCGGAAGCGTTTAGTGAAGAATTTGAACCGACCTTGCACTGGTGTGTGAGAGCAAAGTTGATTGAATTAAACAAGCAAATACAAGGATTTATATAAGAGTACAGAGAATAGATAGATAACTGTATTGCTGTTGCGGTTCGATATAGCGCGACTTGGGCAACTGCTCTGTAACGAGTCAGTTGTGTGTCCTTAACTGTCGCGCTGTAATTGTCGAGTCAAAGGTCAGCGACCTTTGACTTTCTCGTAACCTCCAGGCGGTTACCCTAACCTCCGAGGTTGACTCGATGCTTCGATTGGGACTGCTTCGCTTGGTACCTTGGATTTTGATACGACAGAAGCGTACTTAGGACTTATTGTTTCCAACACTCCCCTTCGCTTCTGAAGTGTTACTGCTGGTGACGTGGCCTTGTCCAGTCAGCATCATGCAGTATTCGAACTTCTGCTTGCCGAGTTTCTTGGTCAAGTAATCGGCTGCCATCTCGGATGTTGGACAGTATGACAGATCGAGTTTCCCTTTTTCTATCTCGTCCTTCACGAAGAAATAGCGCAGGGCGATGTGTTTCGTCCTGTTTGCGAAGCCGTTTTTGTTGGCGATGCGAATTGCTGACTGGTTGTCGCAGAACACGGTGAAGCTGGGTAACTCGGCTAGCTTCGCTTCTTCCAGTAGTTCGCGAAGGTAAAGTCCCTCCTTGGTGGCTGAGCAGAGTGCAATATATTCTGCTTCTGCTGAAGATAGTGCGATTAACTCTTGCTTGCTCGACTGCCAGGAGATAGGACCGATAGGCTCAAGGCGGTAGACATAGCCGGTGCGTGAGCGCCTGTTGTCGGTGTCGCCGGCGTGATCGGCGTCGACGTAGCCGATTAGCTTAGTCGGTGTAGCTGCGCTCTTGTGGTAGGTTAGCCCGATCGTCGCGGTGCTGACGAAGTAGTGGAGAGCGCGATCAAGTTCCGCCAGGTGTTCAGCTTCAGGCTTCTTGAGATAGGTGGCGAGCTGACTTGCGGAGTAGGATAAGTCAGGACGGCAGGTGACGGCGGCGAATAGCAGGCATCCGAGCTTCTTCTGATAGTCGCGTATGCCGGCGGGCTTGAGTAGAGTAGTTCGTTCCTTCTCGGTTCCTGATGTGTAGCGGTAAGGCGTGGAGATGGCGCTTGGTGTGAGGCTGAACCGTTTCGCGATGGTGTCGGCGTATTTCTCGGCGCTTAGATAGATGGCGTTTTCTTCTTCGCGGATGTTGAGCCCGAGGTACTGTGTAACGGTGGAGGAGACCGTGAGCGTGAGGTCTTTCTGGAGCTCTCCTTTGAACCACGTGGCGATGCCGTCGGTTGACCCAATGTAGAGAAGATCGTCCACGTAGACGATCAGGAGAACGTAGTCGCTTCCCTTAGTGAGGCGGTACATGCCTTGGTCGTGAGGTAGTTGACTAAAGCCGATGCGGATGAGACGGGCGTGCAGGTACTGCTGCCACAGTCGCGGTGCCTGCTTGATCCCGTAGAGCGACTTAAGTAGTTGACAGATTCGGTTGGGTTCGCCGTGGGAACCGTGCGGGAGCTCGACGTAGATTTCTGCATCCACAGGTGCGTAGAGGAAGGCATTCGCGACGTCGATCTGCCGTAACTTCTTCTTCTTCATGGCGGCAATGGCGAGGAGAATTCGGAGTGACGTGTGGCGGCTGACTGGAGCAAAGGTCTCGATGAAGTCTCGTCCTTGCTCTTGGTCGAATCCACGTACGACCCAGCGTGCTTTGAATTTTTCGATCGTGCCGTCTGCTTTCGTCTTGATGCGGAAGACCCATTTCCCGGTAAGGATGGTTTTGTTCCGTGCCACGCTTACGGGAACAACCTTCCAAGTGTTGCGTTCCTCTAATGCCTTCAGTTCTCTATCCATGGCTTCACGCCATTTCTCCCTGTGTTCCCCCCCCAGAGCCTGCTGAACCGTTGCAGGCTCCTTAGGAAGCGAGCTGCGTGTGTTCCCGTGGACTGCGGTGACGAGGCCGAGGATTTGCAGCCCAGTCTGTGAGTATCGAGGGAGTTCTGGATCCTCGGGATAAGCTGCTTCGTCTCCCGCTTCTGGATCAGGGATGAAATTCGGTCCTATCCTTTCTGCTTCATTTGTGTTGACGGTTGCAGGTGTTACGTAACCGGTGTCGGCGAAGTGGTAGAAGACTTCGGCGTTGTTACTGTCGCGAGGATTTTCTTCGTCCATGGGCACGTTGACGGAGCAGTACGGGAGAGGTCCGGCTTCTGCCGATGCGTTGTCAACATTCTGCTCGTCCCAGTCTGCTTCATCCGCTGCTGACGCGAAGGCTCGGTCACCACGAAAACCACTGGTGAGGTCCCGATTCTCGTGCAAGTTGGCGAGGTACGTCTGAAGGGTGAGTCTTTCGTAGAAGATCACGTCACGTGCTGCTACTGTTTCCTTTGTGTGGACGTCGAAGATTCTCCATGCGTTGTAATTTTTCTCGATGCCGAGGTGTAGTCCCCACTGTGCCCGTTGCGAAAATCTTCCCGCTCGTGCTTCTGGGGGTCTGTACTGTACCATGCACCCGAAAACTCGTAACATTTTCGTGCTGCCCTGCTTCCCTGTCCACAGCAGATGCGGTGATGCGTTGTTCGGGAGTGACGACGACGACAACAAGTTGTGCAGCATGACAGCGTGGTCCATTGCTGCTGGCCACTGGTGGTTGGGTAGCCGCATGCCACGTAACAGTTTGCGCATGCTGTTCTGCAGGGTCCTGTTCAGTCGTTCTGCAACACCTTGCTGCTGATGTGCGTAGGGAAGGGAGAGGAGTTGCTTGATCCCCCTTTCCGCCAAGAACTGCTTGAAGCGGTGAGAGGTGTACTCGCCACCTCCGTCTGACTGGAAATTTTTCAGTTGTGTTCCCGACTCTCTCTCTGCTATCGGTAGCCAGGCGGCGAATGCTGCGAGCGCCATGTCGCGGCTGGGTAGGTTGCGATGCCAGACGTATCGAGTGGCGGCGTCGATGAAGGTGATGGTGTAGTTGTAGTTGACTTGTCCTGGTTCGCGATTGTAGAGGATGTCGCTGTAGACTTTTTCGAGTGGTGCGTACGCTGGAGCGCTCGGGTTGTGATGTGAAGCAAACGGTCGATGAGGTAAGTCAGCTTCGGGACATATAAGGCAAGTCCCTCGTGCCTTCTGGAGTTCTCTGCCATCGGGTAGAAGTAGAGAGTCTTTGTCGAGGACTCCTGCTCTTATCGTGTTATTCAAAACCGTGTTGCTTGGATGTCCTGTGCGTGCGTGCCAGATCTCTTCAGAGGCGCGGTGTCCAGGTGAACGCTGATATGCGTCGGAGTTGGAGTAAAAGCTGGCGACGAGGTTGGCGCTTCGGTGGACTTCACGTTGAGTCGGATTCAGCTGTTGCGCGGGTGTTGGTGGTGCTTCGTCGACTGTGACTGGTGTCGTTGTTTCTGCTGCTGCTGATGTTGTTGCTGCTGCCGATGTTGTTACTGCTGCCGATGTTGTTGCTGCTCATGCCGATGTTGTTACTGCTGCCGATGTTGTTGCTGCTGCTGCCGATTGTCGAATTGTTGCTAATGCTCGTGTTCGTTCTGCTTCAGGAATGGTGTGCGAGTACCAGAAGCCTCCCGGGCTGAAGTCGGGGTCGAGATCCGGAGGGTGTGTCCAGTCAGTGAAATTCACGATG